TAGTGAGAGTGAGCCATAAATCTCCATCCCAAATCTGGTAGTTGCCATCCTTATAACTGTGACATGTTGACAGTGTTGATGGTGGAAGGCAAGAATTAGATGAGCCTATATGGGATTTAACAGTGGTAGAAATCCGAAGGTTGTTCTGTTCTAAAGTGAAAATCTTTCCATGATATTTAAAGGGAAAGATATTTCAAAGATCATCCACCAAATAGTCAAAGCCTGTCAAACATGCCAAAGAAATAATCCACTCAATTCTGCCAAGAATTGATAAAGTTTCATTTATAGGCCATAAATTAACATTGGCACAAGAGACATTTTGTAAAGATAGTCTTTCTTGGGCTGGGGATGTGGCTCAAGCGGTAGCGCGCTTGCCTGGCATGCGTGCGGCCCAGGTTCCATCCTCAGCACCACATACAAAACAAAGATGTTGTGGCCACCAATAACTAAAAAATAAATATTAAAGTTCTCTCTCTCTCTCTCTCTCTCTCTCTCTCTCTCTCTCTCTCTCTACCTCCCTCTCTCACCCTCTCTCACTCTCTCTCTTTTTTTAAAAAAAAAAAAAAGATACTCTTTCTTTCTTTTGTTCTAACATTAAGGATTGTAAATTTGTCCAACCATTTCCTTGTAAGGGGAATTCCCACCAAGGCAGTCCAGAAATGTTGGAAAGGGGTAACAGTCCACATATCCAGCAATTAATTATCTTTTTGTAACTAGTGGCATATTGTTGGGCCCACATTAGAATAGAGTTAGTTTCAGTGGATCTCTTTATAGTAATAAAGAAAGAGAGAAGAAAAAGTTTACATAACACCATTGTCTCTGTGGAAGAGATCTCTTAGGTCCTCTACTGGAGTGCAGGTATATTGCTCTTCAGTTCCTTGAGAAGAAGTCTCTTTGGGTATCGACTCAGGATGGCAGGCTTTAATCCAAGAGTAATGGACCCATTTCTCCTGTACCAGCACTTTTTTTTTTTTTGTAGTTGTAGATGGACAGGGTGCCTTTATTTTTTTTTTTTGTTTATTTTTATGTGGTGCTGAGGATCGAACTCAGTGCTTCATGCATGCTAGGCAAGCACTCTGCCACTTAGCTACAGCCCCAACCCCTGTCCCAGCACTTTTATTGCAGAAGGGGTGGATAAGATTACAGAAAAAAATCCTTCCCAAATGGGGTCTAAGTTTGGGGAATTTGAAGGTCTGGTCTTGATCACAACTAGATCTCCAGGCTCATATAGAGATGGAGAAGTAACTGGCTCAGATATGGGATATTTACAAATTTCAGCTTGAAATTTGGCCAACATTGTGATATGAGCCACTAGATCTCCAGTTTCCTGGTCTTTAAGGCTATCATTTCTTAGGAATGGACTCCCATATAAAAGTTCAAATGGGCTGGGCCCTAATGTTTTTGGGGTGTTTCTAATTCTGAGTAGGGCCAAAGGAAGCACCTTAGGCCATGGGTAGTGGGTTTCTTGAGTTTCCTTAGATGTCTTTTTTAAATGTCATTAATTTTCTCTACCCTTCCTGAGGATTGAGGTCTCCACTCACATTGGAGATGGTATTTGATGCCTAAGACTTTGAATATTCCCAGAGTGACAGCTGCCTTAAAGGCTGCTCCATTGTCACTCTGTAGACTGCGAGGCAAACCAAATCATGGAATTATTTCCTGTAATAATGCTTTGACTATTTCTCCTGTTTATTCAGTTCATGAGGGGTAGGTAGGCTTCAGTTCACCCAGCAAGAGTATCTATCATAACTACTAAATATTGGAACCCATTACTCTTGGGCATGTGGGTAAAATCAAGTTGCCAATCTTCCCCAGGAAACTGTCCTAATTTTTGTAATCCTGGGGGTTTCCTGGAAGAATTGAGTGGATTATTTCTTTGGCATGTTTGACAGGCTTTGACTATTTGGTGGATGGTCTTTGAAATATCTTTCCCTTAAATATCTCTCAGGTTAATTTCAGAGTATTTTCTTCTCCTAGGTGGAAAGATTGGTGTAGGGTATGTAAAATCTTCCACTGGGAATTAGCAGGTAAATAAAGTTTGTCATCTTCCATTTGAATCCACCCAGAGGGTAAAAGAAGACCTCCTTTAGGTAATGCCTTGTGTGTTTCCTCCTGGGTGTATTAGGTCTTATCTCTGGGGGAGGGCCTGTTCATATCAAAAAGGCTAAGGTTGTCATCTGTGAACTTCCCTTACTGACCTCTTTGGCTTGTTGGTCTACTAGCCTGTTTCCTCCTGCTATTTCATCTATCCCTTTTTGATGTCATTGACAATGAATTACTGCCACCTCTTTGGGTAAATGAACAGCTTCTAGCAGTTTTAAGATTTGCTCATAGTTCTTTATGGATGTTCCCCCAGTTGTTTGAAATTCTCTTTCCTTCCAAATTGATGCATGTGCAGCAGGATTACGTAGGCATATTAAGAGTCAGTGTAAATATTAATTCTCTGTTGTTTTCCTATTTCAAGTGCTCTCCTTAGGGCTATCAATTCAGCTAGTTGTAAGCTTGTATCTGCGGGCAAAGATTGTGCCTCTGTGGTGTTATGTAAAGTCACCACAGCATATCCAGCTTTTCATTCTCCTTGTTCCATAAAAGGAACTCCCATCTGTGAATATGGTGAGGTCTGGATTGGACAAGGGAAGTTTTGAAGGTCTTTCCGGGCTGAATAATTTATAGCTAGGACTTGTTGGCTGTCATGTTTAGGATTTCCTTCTAATTTCTCTGGGAGAAAGGTGGCTGGGTTTAAATTAGAGCAAGTCTTTATTTGAATTATGGGTCCATCTAAAAGTAAGGTTTGGGGGCTGGAGATGTGGCTCAAGTGGTAGCACACTCACCTAGCATGCATGAGGCACTGGGTTCGATTCTCAGCACCACATAAAAATGAAATAAAGATATTGTGTCCACCTAAAAAACTACAAAATAAATATTTTTTAAAAAATTTTAAAATAAATAAATAAATAAAAGGTTTGATATTTTAGAAGGCAACTGTCTAAAAGCCATAGCTCTCATCCTTTCATCATTCCGTATTTAAAATCCCTGAGAGATCATGGGAGGTATAGACAATAATGTCTCTTCCCAGGGTGATTTTAATTCCTCAGGGACAAGTAGGGCTACTGCTGCTACTACTCTCAAACAGTGAGGCCATCCTCAAGACACTAGATCAGGCTCCTTACTGAGATAAGCAACTGGCTGTTGAGCAGGTCCCTTCTTTTGTGTGACAACTCCCAGAGCTATTCCTCCTCTCTCAGTGACAAATAGCTTGAATTTTTGTTCAGTGTGTAAACTGAGGCAGGGGCTTGGAGTAAGGCCCCTTTTAATCCTTAAAGTCTTTAATCAGTTCTGGTTCTCATATCAGGGAAGTTGTTCCTTGGTATAGTGTCTCTTTTAGGAAGCTATAAAGAAGCTTAGCAAATTCCCCATATCCAGGAATCTAAAGCCTACAGTATCCTATTATCCCTAGGAAGTCTCTAAGTTGCCTTATGGTTTGAGGTAGAGGACATTGTCCTATAGGGGTTATTCTTTCTGATCCTAGTTTGTGGGTTTCTTGAGACACCTGTAATCCTAAATATTGAACTTGTTTTTGGCACAACTGAGCTTTTATCTTTGAGACTTTATAACCCTTATCAGCTAAGAAGCTTAATAGTGCTTTAATGGCTTCTTGACATTCCTTTTGAGTGGAGGCAAATAAAAGCATGTTATCTACATATTAGAGGACAGTCACAGATGTTTTATCTCTGAATTCTGTTATGTCCTTAGCTAGAGTTTGGCCAAACAGATGAGGGCTATCTCTAAATCTTTGGGGTAATACTGTCCAGGTTAATTGAGATCCGCTATCTGGTTCCTCAAAAGCAAACAGATATTGTGATTGGGAGTCTAAGGGTATACAGAAAAAGGCATCTTTTAAATCTAACACAGTAATCCAAGCAGTACATATTAGGAACTATAGGGTGGAGAGGAACAACTGCTTCATTAATTATTCTGAGGTCCTGGACTAGTTGCCATTTCCCCTTGGGTTTTTTAATTCCTAAAATGGGTTTGTTACATGGGCTACTGCAGGGCACTATAATTTCTGTTGTTTGAGGTTCTAAATGATCTTTAATAAGCCCTTTTTTGTCTCTGGGTGTAGGCGATATTGTCTCTGACGTGGAAAGACAGAAGGATCTTTTAAGACTATTTTGATTGGGACTGCACTTTTTGCCCATTGTTCGATTTTGCCTTCAGTAGCCCACACTTTAGGGTTTATATTACATTCATATAAAGGCAAACATAATGGTCCTCGAGGTTCCAAATTCATTATAATGGATGTCTGAAGTTTTGAAAATAAGTCTCTTCCCAATAAAGGGGTAGGACATTCTGGGACAATCAGAAATGCATGAGAAAACATCATCCTGTCCCACTCACAGCTCAGTGGGGGAGTAAACTTTCTGTTAATAGGCCGTCCAAATACTCTTTGTATCATTATAGCATTAGAGGAATGAGGTCTGGGGTAAAAATCGAGTACAGAATAATTGGCGCCAGTATCTAAGAGGAAGTTGACTTCCTGGATCCCTCTGGAGAAGCATACTTGGGGCTCACGAGTGGTGATAGGAGTTACAGGAGGCAGAATTGACCCAGGGCTCCGTCAGGCCTGTGTGGAGGAGTCTGGCTTCCCTTGAAAACCACCCCTGAGGACAGTCACTCCTCCAGACATTGCCTTGACATTTAGGGCAGGGCTTTTGGGGTGGTCACTTGGCTTGTGGGCAATCCCATTTGAAATGTCCTTCCTCTCTGCAATGGAAACAAGTCCCTTTTGTGGATTGAGGAGCATTTTGTTTTCCTCCTTTTCCACCCTGGGAGCTAATACCAGCGCTTCAGTCCTTTTTCTTTCTCTGCGCTCTTTCTCCTTCTTTTCCTCTTGATCTCTATTATAAAAAATGAAAGTAGCAAGTCGAAGGATATCATTCAAAGATTGATCAGGGCAATATGCCAATTTTTGTAACTTCCTCTGAATGTCTGGGGCTGACTGAGTGATAAATTTGTCCTTAAAAAGTAGGTGGCCCTCTGTGGATTCAGGATCCATGGTGGTATGTTTTCTCATTGCCTCCCTGAGTTTCTCCATGAAAATAGCAGGGCTTTCCTGGGGGCCCTGAATAATTTCTGAAATCTTAGCATAGTTAATGGGCTTTTGCTTGATTCTCCTGAGGGCCTCAAGGACCAACATTTGGAAATGTCTAATTTTCCCAGCATCCTGTTCATCATTTGGGTCCCAGTCAGGATTATTTCTGGGAACTGCCTGTGCTGCACATGGATAATTGGGTTTGCTCTTAGTCTGTTCTGCTGGGGCATGAGCAAGGTGTACGTCATCCCCAAATGGGTCAGCTGCTCTCAGGGCAGCTTTCTTATCATTGGAGATCAAAGTCTGGTAAGTAATAGAATAATATCTTTCCAGGTGAAGTTAAACATCCGGCATAAGTTTTTTTGTTTGTTTGTTTTTGTTTTTAAACATGCTTTTTTAATTTTTTTTTTAAGAGAGAGTGAGAGAGGAGAGAGAGAGAGAATTTTTAATATTTATTTTTAGTTCTCGGGGGACACAACATCCCTGTTGGTATGTGGTGCTGAGGATCGAACCCGGGCCGCATGCATGCCAGGCGAGCGCGCTGCCGCTTGAGCCACACCCCCAGCCCTGGCATAAGTTTTGAGATACCTCAATATATTCATCTGGATCCTCCAAAAATCTCCCTAAGTCTGTTTTTATCTGTGTTAGGTCTTGAAGGGAGAAGGAGGTATGGTCATAGTTAAAGCAATGTCCCAGGGATTCATAAATTGACTTCCAAACCACTCTGGAATCAAGTCTTTATTGAAGCACACTGGCAGTGACAGATCAGCCACCGCCAGCCAGTGTGCTTCAACAAAGGCTTAATTCAATTACACGTTAGTGGTCTGGAAGTCAATTTATGAAACCCTGCGATGTTACTTTAACATTTGGGGGCTTGTCCGGGATTACTTTCTTCCCTACCCTCAAGCCAAATTTGCCTCCAACAATGGGCCTTTGGACCTCAGGTTGAAAGTAGAGGGGAGCTCCTGAGAGACAGTCCTTAGCCTCACACAGAGGGCAATTCCAGTCCGTCCTAGAATGCTTTGAGAAGACTTCTGCCAACCTGTCAGACCTGGTGAGTCAACTCCTCTGGGAACAGACTGGACATAGTCATTTACACCAAGTCCTGGGACAGGACAAAACATTATTTCTGTCCCACTGGCAGCCTCCCTGTGTGGCCTCACCTGTTCTGTGTCTGTCTTGCCGTGTGTTGGTGTGTGCATGGGCCCTTTTTGTTTTCATAACCATTCTTTCATCAGGACTCCTTCACTCCACCGACATCATGGGACAAGGAAATTCTACAGAGAACTCTACCTGTCCCCACTTAACTTGTTTTCTTAACAATTTTCAGGACTTCCAGAGGAGCACAGCAGAGTACGGGACTTCTAACAATGGCGTCACTCTGAGAAAACTCAGAGATAGATTGGCCCTCCTTCAAAGTAGGCTGGCCCTCAGAAGTTTCCACTAACCTCTCTTTGGCTATGGAAGCTCGGCCTGTGATTTTTAGGAAGCCCAGTCACCCTGACTAAATTCCATACATTCAGGTCTGGGTCGATATTCCGAGAAACCTCGATGGCTAAAGAAATGTTTTCCCGACCTCCCAACCAATCTGTCCACTGGGACTTTGTCCCAAAAATCTAAAACTGTCCTAGTCACAAAACCCAGACCAGCACCTGGTAAGTCAGATCCAGCCCTGTCCTGCCAGTGGCCAACTGGCAGCCAACAAAGTGGAACCTCTCTCAACTGCTCAGCCACCACCCTACCCTGATCAGGTGCCCCAGGCCGCTCCTCAGGCTGCCCCAGAAAGTTCGGGTCTCCCCACACCTGAACCAGAACCCCTTATGCGGGGCTCACTCCAGCCCCTTTGCTCCCCTTGCAGCAGGCTCCCTCTCAGCAGGGCCCCTTTATGGTGTATGTGCCCTTCACTACCAGTGACCTTTATAATTGGAAAAATCAAAATTCCTCTTTCTCTGAGGAATCCCAAGGACTCATCTTACTCCTGGAGTCCATCTTTTACACCCACCAGCCCAATTGGGATGACTGCCAACAGCTCTTGCAGACTCTTCTCATCTGAAGAAAGGAAATACATGAGGCGCAAGGGCTAAAAGTTCATTATGGGACCAAATGGGCTCCCCACAGATGATCCAGTCCAGGTTGATAGCGTCTTCCCGCCCTCACATCCTGACTGGGATCCCAACAATGACCAAGGTAAGGAGGCTCTATTCTAGTTTTGCCAGCCTCTGATGCGGGGAGTACGTGGTGCAGCTCGGAAACCCACAAATCTCTCCAAGGTGAGTGAGACAATTCAGGGCCCTAATGAATCTCCCAGTGCATTCCAAGTGCGCCTTTTACAGGCTTACTGTATACGCCAATTTCCCTGAAGCTCCCGAAAATCAGAGAGCCATTAACATAACCCTTTGTCACCCAGTGGACCGCAGATATTAAAAAGAAGTTACAAAACCTAGAGGGATTTGAGGGAAAGGTGTTGTATGAGTTGGTGGAAATTGCCCAACAAGTCTATAATAACCGAGACCCTCTGGAAGAAGAACAAACCTGGAAATTGACAAGAGTGTTACTGGCCACAGGAAATCCTCCACCTGGCACAAGAGGGCAGCATAACTCCAGAGGTCAAATATTAAATCAGGACCAATGTGCTTTCTGTAAAAAAGGACATTGGAAAAACAAATGCCCCTAAAAAAACAAAAGCACCCAAATTCTAGCCAGATAAGAAACCACCAAAAGCGGTCCTCCATTTGGGAAATGAGAACTGACTGGGCCTGGGCTCTTTCCAAATAAGTTTCCAGGAGTCCTTGGTTACTCTTACAACTGGGGACAAGCCAACAAAGTTTTTTGTGGATACAGGGGCCACTTATTCAGTACTCCAACATTCAGAGGACCCAATTTCTAAGTCAAAAATTCCATTCAAGGGGCAACTGGAAAAATTCAACATTGTTCCTGAACCTAGGCTAGGATCACAGATTTGGGAAAAGGGATTATTACCCATTCCTTCCTTGTAATGCCAGACTGCCCCTACCCTCTATTAGAAAGAGACCTCCTACATAACTTACAGACAACAATTTCATTCTCCTCTGATTCTGTGGAATTAAAGCTTCGTCCTCCCACCAAAATCATAGTCACCTGTCCTCTCGGGAAAGCATATCAACTACTCCCTGGCCTCTGAGACTTTAAAGGACACTGATGATTTAGGAAATATCATCATTCCAGAAACAATAATGTCAGACTTCCTCCAAGAGTTTCCCAAGGTATGGGCAGAATTTAACCCTCCTGGACTGGCAGCTCACCGGCCACCTATCATTGTCCAGTTAACCAACACTGCTATCCTGGTCTGAGTCAAGCAATACCCCATCAGCCACCAAGCTCGGCTGGGGATCACAACACATATTAATCGACTCCAGACACAAGGGATCTTGGTCCTTTATAAGTCCTCCTGGAACATTCCCCTCTTACTAGTCCAAAAGTGTGGGACTAACAACTACCGACCGACTTAAGAGAGGTCAATAAACGAGTAGAGACCATACCTCCCAGTGTTCCTAATCATTATATCCTGCTAGGCCTTCTGCTCCCCAAATACCAGGTATACACAGTAATGTATCTCAAAGATGCATTCCTCAGTCTTCCCTTGGCAAAAGTAAGCCAACCCTGATATACCTAGCCTAGTTATCTCATTAGATCAGAAGCCAGCTTGTCACAAGTTATGAAGGATTCATTTCTGTTTTCTGTAAAAATATCAGGATGTCTGTATGGCCTGGCCATTAGTTGATGTTGTAAAGCTGATTGGAATGCCTGCCCGTGCCCTGAACTCACCCAGGTTGGGTTTTCCCTGACCATATAACAACCCTTTCCTAAACCTTAGTGATGCCTCATAAATTCTGGCCTACCCTGGCCGGATAAGGACCCTCTCTGAGTCTCTAAGATCTCCATAAATTCTGATACCGGGGCCAGCAAAAATGTAAACTTGTGTTATGCTCTTCAGAGTGTTGTTATCTGTAACCTCCCTTTGTGTAACTTTTTGGGTTATAAAACTGGGCCACAAAGAAGCCTCGGGGCTGTCCTTGGCTCCCACGATTTTGAGGGGCAAGGCAGCCCGGCCGGTCGAAATAATAAGCTTGCTTTAATTTGATTTTAATTGGAGTCAGTGGTCTTTTCTTGCGTCGTGGTCTAATAACCCATCTTCGAATTTGAATGGTCTGACCTAGAGGTGGGATATTCAGGACCACTAACCTGGACCAGGCTGCTGCAAGGATTCAAAAATTCCCCAACTATGTTCGATGAAGCCTTAAGTCAAGATCTACAAAGCTTCAAGGTGAGTCACCCTGAAATCATCTTGCTCCAGCATGTAGATGACCTCCTTCTGGCAGTAAAAACCCCTCAAGCTTGCAAAGAGGCTACCAGAGACTTGCTAGATATCCTCTAATTCATTGGGGGTACTGAGTGTCTGCTTAAAAAAAAATTATGTTCAAAGGAGGTAACTTATCTGAGATATAAACTTTATAAGGGACAATGATGGTTGTCAGGAAAATGCATCCAAGGGGTTATACAAATCCCCGCTCCAAACACCAAAAGGCAAGTATGTGAGTTTTTAGGGGCAACAGGGTATTGCCACCTTTGGATCCCTGCATTTGCTGATATTGCCCAGCCCCTTTATGAACTCACAAAGGGAGCAAGGGAAAGGATCAATGGACAGATACAGAGGAGGAAGCTTTTCAGCACCTCAAGGAGGCAATCACTTGGGCCCCTGCTTTAGCCCTCCCAGATCTAACAAAACCCTTTCACGTCTATATTGATGAAAAAAAAAAAAAGTGTTGCAAAGGGAGTATTAACTCAAGGTAATCTGGGCTCAAGCCCTAGGACATGGGACTTCAGCCCAAAAAAAGCTGAACTAATAGCCTTAACACAAGCCCTTAGATTTGGAAAGGACAAGAGATCAACGTGTACACTGACAGCTGGTATGCCTTCGCTATCACACATGTACATGGGGCCTTATACAAGGAAAGAGGACTATTAACATCAGAAGGAAAAACCATGGGGCTGGGATGTGGCTCAAGCGGTAGCGGGCTCGCCTGGCATGCGTGCGGCCCAGTTTCAATCCTCAGCAGCACCACATACCAACAAAGATGTTGTGTCCGCCGAGAACTAAGAAAAAAATAAATAAATGTTAAAATTCTCTCTCTCTCTCTCTGTCCCCCTCTCTCACTTTCTAGAAAAAAAAAAAAGAAGGAAAAACCATTAACTATAACAGTAAGTGCTTTAATTGGTCCAAATTCTCCTCCCGGCATCTCCCGGAGGGATAATATATTTAACCTGTTTATTGGGACAGATGTAGAGAGGCCAGGGTATGGGGACAAGAGGGCTGCTGCTGCAGCCCACATCAACAAGGGATGGAGATTTTGTGGGTCTTCCTGATTCTTTCTCCTCAGTAGGTGATTCCTTAAGATTTTCTCTCTTCATGGTAGAGATCATAGCTAAGTCTACTTTACATTGTTGGCATAATTTGGGGTTTTCCCTTCGGGCAAAGAAAACCTGGACATATGACATCTCACACTCTTTCCCTTCCCTTTTGCAAAATTTATCAAGCTGTAAAATTGTACTAAAATTGATACTTCCCTCTGGTGGCCAGGATTCTCCATCAGGGAGTTTGTATTGAGGCCAGGCCTGGCAGCAGAAGAAAATGAGGCACTTTTTCTTGAGCGTCTGTGGGTTAAACTTATCCCAATTTTTCAATATGCAGGTAAATGGTATACGGAGCATACTGGAAAGAGAAGCTCCCATCTGAGAAAAGAAAAAACAGGACTCAGGCGCCCACGCCAGAGAAAACTGTTCTTACTAGGAACGTCTTCCTCAGCTTGGTCTTCTTTATGGTCCAGAAAACCCATCTCTCATCTCACTTTGCCAAGGTCATTTCTGGTCCCCTTTGGCAAAGTGCTAGGGTCCCAGTTTGCCCTGTGCCAGAGACCCTGGAAGGATTCAGATTTAAGGGCATTACTGCTTTCCTCCCTGCCACTATAAAACCCACAACAAAAGAAAATCGCCCACTCTTCTTGTTCACCTTTTTGCCCCGTAGACTAAAGGAATCTCCTGAGGGTGAAGGACATCTACTGGTTGTAAGGCATATAGCACCTTCTATCAGAGGGACTCATGGAAGGGTTGATTTTAAAATGCCTCCCTCTGGCAGCTTAAAGAGAACACAGCACATTCTAAGCATCAGAATGGTAATGGGGAAATTTTAAAACAGAATAATGAAAGTAACCTATGCACACGAGGGGAACCTAGGCACCTTTTTACTAATTATCCCATGTCTTTCTCTTAGTCCTACAATCTGAATCACTAGGTTAGGCAGGAAGACTGCAAGTTTAAGGTCAGTGATTTGGTGAACCCCTGAGCAACTTAGCAAGATGCTTTCTCAAAAAAAAAAAAAATTCTTTTTTTTTTTAAAGGACTGGGGGTTAGCTCAGTGATACAGCACCCCCGAGTTCTAGCCCCATACCAAATGAAAAAAAAAAGTTAATTTCAACAATGAATTTTGGCAATACAAGTAACTGTTGTCCACAGGAGACTTCATTAGAGACTAAGCCTAGGGTTTAAATTGAACATGGGTCACGTAGACCCCTCTTCCAGCACATATCATCATCCTGGACTCTTTAGAAAGCAAGGGAGTGTTCATCATAAACCACACTGACAAATAATTTAGGCATAGCAAGATACTCTTAAAACTTAATTTTAAAATTAATTTTCAATTTTTTTGAATTTGTTCTTTTGTATTTTCCAAATCCTTATATATTTCCAAATTCTTAACCATCTATTTTATGTAAGTATCCAAACCATAAATTTCCCACCAAATTAAAGGTTTTATTAATATTTATTTTTTAATTATACGTGGACACAATATCGTTATTTTATTTTTATGTGATGCTGAAGATCAAACCCAGTGCCTCACACATGCTAGGCAAGCGTTCTGCCTCAGATCCACAACCCCAGCCCCAAATTAAGGTTTTAAAAAACATTTAGACATAATGGTATTTGTTTGTAACTTTAAAATTGATCTAACAAAAATATTTGGGGGGGGCTGGAGTTGTAATTCTGTGGTAGAGTGCTTTCCTTGCATGCATGAGGCCCTGGGTTCAATCCTCAGCACCGCATGAAAAATAAAGACATTGTGTTCATCTACATCTAAAAAATAACTTTTTTAAAGAATTGTAAAAATATATATGGGGCTTACATCAATGTTTATTTCAGCTTAATCCACAATAGCTAAACTATGGAACCAACCTAGGTGCCCTTCAACACATGAATGGATATAGAAAATGTGGTATATGCACATAATAGAATATTACCCTGCTATAAAGAAGAATGAAATTATGGCATTTGCTGGTAATGGATGGAACTGGAAATTGTCATGCTAAGTGAAATTAGCCAATCCCCCAAAACTAAAGACCAAAAATGTTCTCTTTGATAGAAAGATGCTAACTCACAATAAACTGGTGGAGGGTGGAATACAAGTTCACTGGATTAGACAAAGGAGAATGAAGGGATGGGAATAGGAAAGACAGTAAAATAAATCAGACATAGCTCTCCTATGTTCGTATATGAATACACTACTAGTATAACTCCACATCATGAACAACCACAAGAATGGTAAGTTATACTTCATGTATGTATGTCAAAATACACCCTACTGTCACATATAACTAAAAAGAATAAAAAAAATTTAAAGTATACGGAGGTTTTGTTGTTGTTATCTCATTATTAGCTTCAAATTTTATTCCATTATGGTCAGAAAACAGTGTTTGCTGATCTTTTATAATTTGCTGAGGCGTTCTTTTTATTATGTGACCTATTTTTTAAAAATGCACTGTATCTTCTTGCAAAGAAAATGCATTCTATTAAGTATATTCATACTTAATGGTTTAAGCTTATTGTGGTATTCAGATTTTAGATATAGGCCTTTTGGGGGGAGGTGAGGCTATTTGATCAGTTTCTGACAGAATGTTTAAATCTCCATGGTAATTGTTCATGTATGTACTTGTTACAGTTTGGATCTTAAATGTCCCTCAAAAGCTCATGCACCGATGGCTGGGATCCCAACTAATAATGCTACTGGGAGGTGGAATTAGGGCCTAGAATGTGGATTGTTGGGAGCGTGCCCTTAAAAGGACCCAGTCCCTTCCTCTCCCTCTCTGCTTCCTAGTGGCCATAAGGTAAGCAGTTAATTCCCATCTTGAACTCCCCACCAAGATATTCTGCCAAGACAGCCATGGTGCCAAGCAACCATGGATTGAAAATCTTTGAATTCATGGGTCAAAATAAATACTCCTTTGTTTATCTCAGGCACTTTGTCACAGCAATGGAAAGCTGTCAGTTGTTACATGTTTAAAATGGTTATACAGTATTTGTTATATTCAGTATTTCCCTTGATGTAAAAATATTATTTCACATCTTAAAACTGCTATTCCAGCCACAATCCCATCCCTACACATTTTTTAGACTGAGTTGCATAGTTTTTGTTCTTAAAGTGGTTTTCATTTTTCTCAGATTTATCATCTTTACTCTAAAAGGACATTTTTATGTCCCTTTGGTTTACACATACATATGAACCTATACACTTCTAATATCCTAACAGTTCAGAATTTAGTTGTTTTTTTGTTAGTTGTTAATGGACCTTTATTTTATTCATTCATATACAGTGCTGAGAATCGAATCCAGTGCCTCACACACGCTACACAGCACACTTCCAGTGAGCTACAACCTCAGCACTTGTTTTCTCTTTTATTTTTGTATACTAACCTTATTTCTTCTCTTTCAGTCTCCTAGCTTTCTTTTCATAAGGACTTTTTAATTTTTTTTTTTTTTTAGTTGTAGATGTACACCATATCTTTTTTTAATGTGGTGCTGAGGATCAAACCCAGGGCTGTACATATGCAAGGTGAGTACTCTATCACTAAGCCACAACCCCAACCCTCATGAGGACTTTTACAAAGAATGATTTCAACTTGGTAAACATTCTGGAATCTTACGTGCATGAGAATATATTTGCACTCTATCCTTCAACCAGTCTAGGTTGAAGCTGTTTTCCTTTAAAATATTACTACCTTGTCCTTTTATATGCAGGTTTTAAGTCTAAAGTAAATATGATTATTATTCCTGTTAAGTGATCCACTCTCTTTAGCTTTGCTATTGGTGATAAAATGGCATTTGTCTTTTTTTATTTATTTATTTATTTTTAGAGAGAGAGAGACAGAATTTCAATACTTACTTTTTTTTTACTTTTCAGCAGACACAACATCTTCGTTTGTATGTGATGCTGAGGATCAAACCCGGGCGGCACGCACACCAGGCGAGCACACTACCACTTGAGCCACATCCCCAGCCCCAGATAAAATGGCATTTGATTGTAGCATATTAGTATATGCATGTCACACTCATCAATTATTTCCCATACTTTTCCTGTGGTCCTCTCCTTTATCCTAATGGTCTCCTATTTATGGTTCTCTCTCTCTTTCACATACACACACACACACACACACACACACACAATTTCCCCCTTCAATTCCCACATGTATGGTACTTCTCTGAATGGCTTATTTAACATGATTATAATCTCACCCATTATCCTGCAAATCACATAACTTCATTTTTCTTTATGATTGAATAATACCCCATAGTATGTGCTGTATTTCTTTTATCCATTCATCTGTTAATGGACATTTAGGCTGATTCCACAATTTGGCTGTCATGAATTGTGCTGTGATAAACACGGGCATGCACTTACATCTAATACACAAAATTATTTTGCATAAATATCAAGAAATGGTACTGTTTGATTATATGGTAGTCCTGTTTCTAGTTTTTTGTGAAACCTCCATATTTATTGCTATAATAACTCTACTACCCATCCACAGTATGAAAGGGTTCCCTTTTTCCTGTTACCTCACCAGTATTTATTATTTATATCCTGGATAACTGCTATTGTGACTGGATTGAGACAGATTCTTACAGTTTTGATTGGTATTTCCCTTACGTTTAAAGATGGTGACATTTTTTCATATAACTGATGGCGATTTTTACTACCTCTTTTGAGGAAGTGTCTGCTGGGTTCATTTGCCCATTTATTGAATGCGTTTTATGTTGTTAAGTTTTTTTACATAATCTGGAAATGAATCTTTTCCTTGGAAGATTAGCTGGCAAAGATTTACTCCCATTTTTTTTTTGAGAGAGAGAATTTTTAATATTTATTTTTTAGTTATCGGCAGACACAACATCTTTGTTTGTATGTGGTGCTGAGGATTGAACCCGGGCCGCATGCATGCCAGGAGAGCACGCTACCGCTTGAGCCACATCCCCAGCCCTTACTCCCATTTCTTCACTCTCAAGTGTTTCCTTTGCACTACAGATAACTTATATTCAGCTTAGTTTTTTCCTTATGTTTTATATCCTCTGAGCACATTCATTATGGATTATTTTCTTTAATTCTTGGAAATGTAATTTCATTCATCTTCAAAATATTTTGTGATCTTTGCTTTTCCTTTACTTCTGGGACCATTAAATGGATGTTGGTACTTTTAATTCATCCTTCATACTTTACCAAAAAAAAAAAAAATTCCTATCTTTTGCCTGCTGACCTCTGAAGTTATTCTGACTAATCTCACCAATCAAAAGACTTTGAGTCCTAGATTATACTACAGAAACAAGAGGCAACAAAATATTTGCTACAATGACAGATACACATAAAAATTTTTAAGATGATACATTAAAGAATGGAATGCTATATGCTAGGCAAATATGAAGTGAAATAAAAGTAATATAACAATATTGATAACTGACAAGAGAATTCAAAAGAAAAGTTTTCCGGAGGCCATAAAGGAATATATATGAGCCCCAAATTATACAAAGAGCCCCAAATTATATAAAGCCCAAACTTACAAACTAAAAAGAAATCAGTAAATATAAAACTGTAAGTGGAGATTTTAATGTATATACTTCTCAGAAATAAATGAAGCAGTCAAAAATTAAATATAGACATTTATTAAAGGGGAAAACATACCAATTTGTAGAGAAATTTACACTCAATACTAAGAAACTATACATTCAAGTGCAAATGCAGACATTCACAAAATTGACCACTTATCAGGCCATAAAGAAAACAGCAATATAGTCTAAAAAAAAAAAAAAATCAACATTATGCCAATCATGTTCTCTGAGCATAATGCAATGCAAAAAGAAGGCAAATAAGAGGCAACTGTAAAATTCATACACCTGCCAACTAAATATCTCAGAAATAAATCCTTGGTTTAAGAAGAAACCATTAAAAGAAGTTATATAATCACTTAGTAGTAATGAAAATACTGCCAGTCAAAATTTACAGGATATGTTTAAAAGTAATTAAAGAGAATTACGTTATCTTTAAATACTTTATCAGAAATAATAAACACTGAAAACAAATAAGTGTTTACGATAAGTGTTGCTTATTTTAATAGAACACAAGGAAATAACAAAGTTAAGGTGAAAGCAGGAATCAAATATGATATAGAGGAAAGACTTAAGAGAACTAGAGGCCAATCTTAGAAAGTTTAATGACAGGAAGAAATACATGAAGACTAACCAAAAGAAAAACAGAAGATGAAAAACAATTGGAGGAAATGAAAAATATAAATAAGATGCCACTTTACAAAACTCAGAATGGCAAAAATTATAGTACTGACAAGATGTGAGGAAACAAGTAATGCTGATGGGAGTATAAATTCATATAGCCACTGTGAAAAGCCCCATAGCAAAATTTAGTGAAACTGGACTAGAGAAATCATTCTATGCACTAAAAGGGAATTAAAAAGATATGGTAGATACACATTGACAACTGAATATACGGATGGCAGATAGATCTTCACAATAGAGAATGGAGAGTAAACAATGTGGAACATTAGAGGTAGTATATCCTCCACACCAGCAGTTTTCTAACTTTTGATCTCTTTACACTTTCACATTTTTAAAAAACTACTTAAGGCCTGAGAGCACTTTTATGAGGACTGTATTGAATAATACTTATCATGCAGCTGAAAACAAATACTCTGTATACTTGTGACAATGACAAACAGCAAATAGGGCTACTATGAAAAGCTTTGATCTCATGTACTCCAGAGGCATTGATGAGCTGTTCTATACTGATCTAGAGATTAACTTCCTTTCCCTGCCTATGCTTAAGTCAATTTGAAACCTATTGTATTGTATATCTGATATTATTGTAATTCTGTTTCCCCATTTTGTAGACAAGGGAACTACAGCTCAGAGATTGGCTGATTTCCCAAATGTCACACAGTTAACAGAATGTCTTTGATCCCAGAACCAATTCTAAAGCTCACTCACTTTCTACTTTCAAGGGTGAGTGAGTGGTTAGTTCACAGGTCTCCTGCAAGCTAGGTGTATTATTTTGGCACCAGGGATCAAACCCAACTGTGCTTAACTACTAAGTCACATCCCCAGTCTTTTTAATCTTACTTTTAGATGAGGTCCCACTAGGTTATTTATAGCCTTGCTAAATTGATGAGGCTGGCTTCAAAACTGGAATCCTCCCTCAGCTTCCTAGCCTCTGGGCTTACAGACATGCACCACGGAACCTGGCCAGCTAAGCAGGCAACACTCTGCCACTGAGCTATTTCCAAAAGAAACCACAAAATTGCCTCTTGGGATTTACACTTCTGATTTGTAAGATCTTGTGTCTACAAACATGAAAGATCAGTTAAAGACAGATGTGAGATCTACAAAGAACATAACTTGTGTTGTCATGTGCAATTAAATTTCTTTTTTTCCCCCTTTTTAAATGACCCCAAAAGACAGGTTTAACTCTTCTACGAAAGCCTTCATTGATATTTAAACACTTCCTTCTTAGGTCAGACACTTGCTTAAATAAAGCAGGGTCTCATCACTCCACTGAAGCAATGCACACAAAAAATAGAGTGCATTTGCACATCCTCTTATTTGACATGGAAAAAACAAAAAACTTGAAATGAAGCTCATTATCAACTTCATTATAAATATAAGGAAAATGACTTAGACTGTTAACATTGAACAGAGCAATAACTGAAACTCAGGTTTCTGAACACCAAATCTGATTATTTCCCTAATACTTGCCATAAAAGTTGATTGAGTCTCTCCTCCCCCAAAAGTTCCAGGTGAATGTCAAAATCTTCTTAACTCATCCTACTACAATTACTCTCCTCAGTTGATATGTTCAAGCCAAACCTTTTTGGGGTCCTACAAGCCAAGAAGATGCTTCACAATTGCAGTATTTACAAAAGAAATGGTGACTAGGGCAAAAGAGTATTCTTTTCCTTTCAGAAAAATACCTCACATCTTTGCTCAAGGAATGAAGAATATCTGGCATTTGGACAGTAATACTACAATGTTTTTATGGTTTGAAATGTTGCTTTTCTGCTTGAGTACTATTTCTTTGGTAGTTTACTTATTATCAAATTATTCTTAATAACATACACAGAAGTAGTGATACTTTTAATTTGTTGAGCTCTGAATGGCAGACGTTGCATTAACTTGTATCATTTACTTCTGTCCTAAATTCAGGCAAACTTTATTATCAAATTTAATGTCTTTTTAATGATACCACTTCAACTCCACATTCTCATTTTACAGAATTGCCAGCCAGTCAGGACTTAACCACTACTCCGTATATTATGGAATGTTTACAAAAACTTTTTAAGCACCTTTGACAGCCAGAAAAGTACTTCGAACTATTCAGAAAAGGATGCATGTTGCAAGCAAGGTGGTCACAGGTACCTTTGTGTAAAGGAAATGGTGCAAAAGCTAGTTCTTGACAACAGCAGCCCTAATTCTAAAAGCATAGGCTAACTCTTCAGTGACGACAGCTACCTGCTTGAAATTTATCCAGTTTCCACTGGTCCTCAGCTACAACTCTGCTTTGCCTAAAGTACTGCTATTTAAGAATAGTATATTTTGGGGGTGGGGATGTGGCTCAAGTGGAAGCGCTCACCTGGCATGCATGAGGCACAGAATTCAATCCTCACCACCACATAAAAGTAAAAAATAAAGATATTGTGTCCACCTAAAGCATATGGTAGGCTGTTTCTAGCACATTTCACAGGGTTGGGCCCATCACTTTTTACCTCCTAGTGTCCAATAAATCTTGAGGTCTTGTACATCTGAAACTGTCTTTACTACCCTTGTATTTAAATACTATAGTTGGATAGAAAATAATTTGTAATTTCTTTCCTTCAACCCAACTGTAGACTTTAATGTCTAGTTTACTGCTAAAACAAAAACCGTTTCACTTCTTACAATTTTGAAGAGATTCTTTGCCCTTTATATTTTTGTCTATAACACATCCAGGTTATAAAGTTTTCCTTTAAAATTTTCCATTTAGCACTTGACAAACTAATCCAACTGGAGGTTTTTAATCTTTATTATAAGGAAATAGGAGTATTTTTTAAATCCAGTGTATTGATTGACTGCTTTAATTTATTCCTGCTTTGTCTTCAATATATTCTCTTACATAAAGGTACCAAGACAGAAAAAATGCCCAATCTTGTCTTTATGAAAGCACACCTGGACTGGCAGGTAAAGTATCATTCATGACAAAGAACAGGAAATTTTATTTTGGTGTGAAATGTGAGCTGGATAGCAACAAACAAACCATGCAAGTATCTGAATAAGGAACAAAAGTAATGGTGAAGTACATTGGATTTACCAGTGATATATTTTATGACCATCTTGGGATTGCAGGCACATGTCCTGTTTGTTGAGACCTGAACTTTCTCAACTCCTCCAACATTAACTTGTCTTGTCCCAAGTAGTATGACATTCTAGTACCACTTCTCTCTTGTACTGTAGTACTAGAGCTAAAGGGAATCAAAGAAAGATGGATAAACAAGCAGGTCCACAGACATAGGAAAAAGCAAACCCTGCTATCCATGGAAACTCTAGACATATGTAAGAATTTGAGTTTTGAACTGGTGGTGCATGCCTGTAATCCCAGTGGCTTAGGAAACAGAGGCAAGAGGATAGCAAGTTCAAAGACAGCCTTAGCAACTTAGTGAGACTGTTTTGAAATAAAATAAAAAGGATTGGGGATGTTGCTCAGTGGTAAAGTGCCCACGGGTTAAATGAGTTTGCAGAGGTAGCTGGAAACATCAAGATCAATTCCTACAGCATGGTGGAGATGAATATCCAAACAAAATGGGGTGACAGGAGTGGTAGAGACAAACAAAAAACAATGATATAGACAAATTTCTAAAGTGATTTTGCTATAAAAGGAAAGAAAAAAGGCTTTTCAGTTGGCTCTGGCTAGGACAACATATTGACAGTTAAAAGACAAAAGGATAAAGAACAACAGATGTAGTGATAACTTCTCGAAAAGTTCTTTTCTGGTGAGAGGGAGGAAATATCAGAGATATGACAGAGATGAAGCTATGAAACAGTCATTTAGGAGAACAGGTTGTCAAAATTTAGTACAACAAATAAGTAACTCACTGAAGTCATAGATGATGAATTTCAAGCAAGACTAGATAGCCTGCTTCTCTGACTGGCAAATATTTCCATTTATTAATAAAAGAAAACTCTTGCTCAAATGTTCTTTTAAGACAGTTTTTTCTCCTGAGGCTAAGTTCCAGGAACTTGAAAGCATTCTCTATATATAACAAAAGTAATTTTCCCTGAAACCTTAACAACCAGTATAGAAAAACCTGTGGGTCAAGGAGCACCTCCTCTCTCCCAGGGTATATTCAAAATTTCTCTTCTTCATGTTGTGATTATCCTTTCATGCAAGGCCTAAATTCTTCCCTTTTTGGCCTTTATTCTCCTCTTATGGATTTTAGGTTAGATTCCAGAATCTTGCTTCCGTCTCTCTAGTTCAATTTACCCTCCCTCCCATAAGTTCTCAGCATTTTTCTTGTCCTGTATAACATACTATTTGCAATTTCTTGTCTTATGACAAGACCCTACTACAGTTTCTTCCACAACATTTTCTGGGTTAACTCAATTTTGAGTTAAAACCTTTTATACCATATATTCTTGTAGTACCAGTGAATAAAACTGAATAAGCACAAAAATGTTGAATCCCAATACACATTGTCTTTTGTTATTATTTAACCTGGACTATTACTTTCCTGACAAAATAATTTAATGAGATCATCTTATAACGAACATTTATTGACAAACTATCTTATAGATTCTAAAATCAAACAATGTGTTACTTCAAGAATAGAAAGCATAATCCGAATCTCACCCCCACCAAAGCCTACTACTCCATAACTGAAGTACCCAAAACCTATGAACCATATTGCTAAAAGAAAGGGGGGGGGGAAGATATGTTTACTAAACTTCCACAGGAAGACTGTATAAATCTGGCAATGGTGAAGTACAATCAGACCATGCTCATGAGTACTACCCAGTCTCAAATATTAACTGAAAATTTAAACTTAATATGCATTTCCTTCTTAGAAAGGGTCAGAAAATTATAATCTATTATGTATGCAATGGTGCTAGTTACATTATGTAAAATGATATAATAAAAACAAAATAGTAGACAATTTGAATTTCCAAACCAATAAGTAAATTACTAACTGTAAACAAGAACTTTTAAAAGTCATTCTTTAGCTTCAATTTAAAACAAACATTCAGGACTGGAATCTTCAGAATTTTCTAGTATCTTGAATATCCCTGTCTTCTCTTTAATCGGTCCTGAGGCCTTCATTTGATCTAAAAGAAAAATATTGGAACAAATACTTTTTTTGGGGGGAAAAAAAAGGGTAGGAACCTGGAAAAAAATCATAAATTTCCAACACAATTTTGTAAGAAGTGTATCATATGTCCAAATTGTAAAAACCCATGTGTGGGACACTCTCTGCTAAAATTTAGACATATACGTAGGGCAATAAACAGAACACCAATTTTAATTATGCTTTCAGAGATGTTTTTAAAAAAAGCCCAATCATGGTTAAGAGTTGAGAAGCAAGATATCATGAAAAACTTACCTTTATAAACATTCCAAATCACTGCAAATATGTAGTATCTATTTAGGTTGTTTTATGTCTTTAATATTAATGTATTAAAGTCTTTTTTCATTATAATAACTGAGCTTTGCATCTTAATTCCTTTCCAATCCTAAACTCATACCTTTTCCTAACTGTTTAAAGTTCTTTTAATATTAAGAATGGGGATGTAGTTTAGTGGCAGAACATTTGTTCAGTATCTACAAGCTTCTGGGTTTGGTCCCCCATACTACAAATAAATAAATATTTTTAAAAATTAAGTTTTGAGGGGGTGGGGTTGTGGCTCAGTGGTAGAGCGCTTGCCTCGCACATGTGAAGCACTAGGTTCAACCCTCAGCCGCACATAATAAACAAACAAAATAAAGATATTGTGCCTATGTATAACTAAAAAATATTTCAAAACAAAAAACTAAAGTTTTAAGCCAGGCACAGTGGCATACACCTATAATCCCAGTGGCTCAGGAAGCTGGAAGTAGGAAGATTGCAAGTTTAAAATCATCCTTAGCAAAAGTGAGGTGCTAAGCAACTTGGTGACACCCTGTCTCTAAATAATAAAAAAAGGGTTAGGGGTATGGCTCAGAGGTTGAGCACCCCTGAGTTCAAACCCTGATGCCCATCCCACCACCCAAAAATCAGGTTTTGAATATATACTTAGATTGGTAACTTATCAAAAAATGTCCTAAATGCCAGGCATGGTGGCACACACCTGCAACTGTAACCCTAGAAACTTGGAAGTCTAAAGCAGGAGTATCAGAAGTCCAAGCCAGCTTAGTAAGACTGTCTCAAAATAAAAAGGACTGGTGATATAGCTAAATGGCAGAGTGTGTTCAACTGTGAGGTAAAGAGGATCCAGGTTTAGTTTTCCCTGTTTAATAATTATGCTGCATCATGTATTAACCAAAAGGAATTTTCCCTTTCTGGTTTGAAATGCCTTTTCTTTCACTCTTTTTCCAAAGTTTGGTTGTTTTTCTAGGGTCACTATACTATACCACTAATTCATCTGTCTTAATTGATTATAACAAGTGATAAGGATTTTGATTTGAATATTCCTATCCATTAAATCTATACACTTATTCAGTCTTTATGTTAATAACCTCCAACAATTCATAATTTTGTCCATGGAGGTCAAATCTCTTTTAAGATTTTTGTATTTTTTAAATAATTTTTTATATCTCTATTTATTCATTTATTTTTATGTGGTGCTGAGGATTGAACCTAGTGGCTCACACTTGTGAGGCAAGCACTCTACCACTGAGCTGCAGTCCCAGGCCAAGATTTTTGTATTTAATTATAGGCTTTTTAACCAAATTTGTAACTATTGCAAACACTTTATTTACTAAATAATTGTTGATGATACACAATTAATTATAAAGCAATCTTCTACTTAAAAGCTTCCAGATTCCCTTGAACTTTCTACGGAGGCAATCAGACCATCTGTAAATACAAGCAATCTGGATTCCAATTTATTATTCCTTTAGCCTATCAATATTTTGTGGTATTAGTTCTTAAGACCTCTTTCTACACTGTAAAAGTGAGAGCTTTTTATTCCTGATTTCTGTAGTAATCTAGATCAATGTTCTTTACCAGTTTAAGAACATCATGATTGAAAGAAAAAAACTTGGTAAATCTGGACTTCAACAAAAATATAAACTTTTGCTGTTCAAAAGACATTAATAAGCTACAAACAGGGAGAAAATATTCACAAAATAAATCTACTAAAGAACTTAGATCTGTAGGACATTTTAAAACTCTTTCAATTCAATGGGTCACAAAAAACCCAGTGGTATGCTAATAAACGTTCACAATTTCCAAACACTCTAGTTTGAAGTTTTTGCATATTTGTATGGCATATATATCTACCAATTTCAAAGTGTCAGCACAATATCACTGAGTACAATTGGAAAAGGTGAACACCATGATAAGTATTTTATTTGAAATACAATAAAATACATAAAATGTATGATATTCCCACCATTCAAAAAATAAATACCAAGAGTGTGGATTTTAAATATCACCTTTGTTTTCAAAATAATTTATGGTAATCATTGTAGGTAGCAACTTATTCTAAGTGATGAATAAAAAAGCAAATTATCCTGTCTTTCCTATATCTCAGTATAGGAAAGTTAGACAAATCCCAGCTAAATTAAAATGATAAAACAAGAAAATCATTATTTTGTAAAACCCCAAGGAAATAATGGTTCTAAGCATATGTTAAAAACCATAAAGTTCCAGGATTGGGTTGTGATTCAGTGGTACAGGACTTGTCTACATGTATGAGGCACTGGGTTCAATTCTCAGCACCACATATAAATAAATGAATAAAATAAAGGTCCATCAAGGCTGGGGTTGTGGCTCAGTGGTACAGCGCACACCTAGCACATGCGAGGTCCTGGGTTCGATCCCATGCACAACATAAATTTAAAAAATAAAGGTATTGTGTCCAACTACAACTAAAAAATATTTTTAAAATAAAATAAAGGTCCATCAACATCTAAAACAAAACAAAAAAATTTTTTTAAACCATGAAGTTCAATAAAAGTTGACAAGAAAGTCTGAAGTATTCAGATCTGTCTGAATGATCAATCTTAGCTCTCTACAAACCAGAAACCCAGACATACCCCTGATATAAAATAATAGCAAAGACATGGAACTTAAATATAATTAAGTATTAAGAACTATTTATCAGTTTACTGAAAATATGCATATTGAGGAACAAGCTGAAGCACATAAAAAAGGGAAGGAAAATCAGACATTTTAGGAATTCCAGGCCATTCTATAGAGCAAATAACCTAAGTTCTCCAATAAATCAATGGCAAAGAAAAACAAAATACAAGGATACTATAAAAGAAGAGACATAATTAGAACTGCAATTCAAAATGTTAAAAAAAAAAGCGACAAATGAGGAATTGTGAATGGATTTGGGGGTGGGAGGAGATGAAAGTAAAATACTATTGCTAGGGCTGGAGTTGTGGATCAGTGGTAGAGTGCTTGCCTCGCACGGGCAAGGCCCTGGGTTCCATACTTAGCACCACATAAAAATAAATAATTAAATTAAAGGTATTGTGTACAACTACAACTAAAAAATAGATATAAAAAAAAAGTACTAGTGCTATTATCTTAGATGTGTTAAATAATGGCTCTGTTTAAAAACATGTTCTCAGAGGAAGATTCACAATAAACTACTTGTGGACAAAATATCATCATGTTTGACATATGATTTTAAGTCTCTCTCCAACAAGAGAGAAATGTCAATGAAACAAGATTGGCTAAATGTTGCGAACTACTATAGCTGAATGCATTAATTGTTCAAGGGATTAATGACACTATTCTATTTATGTCTATCTTTTAAAGTTTCCATAAAGACTAAAAGCGTGAGACACTTACCAATGAGATCACTTCGATCTAACAACAACTCAAGATCTTTATCACTAATGACCTTTTCTCTTGATCCTTTGACTTCCCTATAAAAACAAAATATTCCAGTATGTTTAAATAAATCAAAACTATGAGTAGTTTTTCTAAAATTAAAAGGCTTACCTTTCATAATCTCTAGATTTTAATAACTCCTTTAATTCCTTAGGATCTAAGAAATTCTTAGATTGATTTAATCCAGACTGACCACCTTTGAAATGATCTAGAAAAATAATTTAACAAATGCAACATATTAAAATTCCCTCTAAAATCCAATAAATTACAAACTATTCAGAATGGCTGCCATTTTATTTATTTACTTTTTGTATTAGAGATTGAACCCAGAGGCACTTAACCACTGAGCTACCTTCCCAACCCTTTTTGAGACAGGGCCTCACTAAATTGCTTAGGGCCTCACTAAATTGCGGAGGCTGGCTTTGAACTTGCAATCCTCCTGCCTCAGCCTCCTGAGCCACTGGGATTACTTTTTTAAAATGACAAAAAACAAAACAAAACAAAACAAAAACCCCTCTAATTTTGGTGAAAAGAAAAGCAACTGAAATTCTCAGACGTTGCTGGTGGAAGCATAAAAAGATATGTTCACTTAGGAGTTTAGCAGTTCCCAATAGACACACACATACCCTCCTCTCTTTTTTATTTTTTTGAGATAAGAGAGAATTTTTTAATATTTATTTTTTAGTTTTCGGCAGGCACACCATCTTTTTTTGTATGTGGTGCTGAGGATCGAACCTGGGCCACACACACGCCAGGAGAGCACGCTACCACTTGAGCCACATCCCCAGACCACATACCCTCCTCTCAAAAACAAGAACTAATAAATGTATCATGTCCACAAAAACACATGCTTATTCAAATAGCTGGAATGTCCAGGAACAAAAGAATAGATAAGCTGGAATGGTGGTGCACACATGTAATCACAGCAGCTTAAGAGGGAGCACCAACATCTAGGAAGATTGAAAGTTCAAGGCCAGCCTCAGCAATTTAGTGAGACTCTAAGCAACTTAGGGAGACTGTGTCAAAATAAAAAATAAAAAGGGTTATTGAGGGCTGGGGATGTGGCTCAAGCGGTAACGCGCTCGCCTGGCATGCGTGCGGCCCGGGTTCGATCCTCAGCACCACATACCAACAAAGATGTTGTGTCTGCCAAGAACTAAAAAAAAAATATTAAAAAATTCTCCCCCCCCCCCCCCCCCCCCCCTCTTTAAAAAAAAAAGGGTTATTGATGTAGCTCAGTGATTAAAGTGCCCCAGGGTTCAATCCTTGGTACCAAAAAAGAATGGATAAATAAACTATTCAGCAAGTAAAATCTTCCTAATACAAACAAAACAGATGAATATTAAAATGTTAATCAAAATTCACAGGAGAAAAACAGAATACACACATAAAAATAAACAGTTAAAGAACAAATTAATCTATATATGAATCAGAATAGTAGTTGCTCAGTGGAATAAGCTCAGACATGCAAGGTGAATGACAGAGGAGGGTACCTGAGAAAGCTTTATTGGATGACGAAAATGTTCTAAATGTGGATGAGTTATATAAATGTATACATTTGTCATAATTATGGAGGTATAATATACACTTAAGATCTGTGTATATTATACCTCCATAAAAAAGTGTCAAAGTTTTTTGTGTAAAATTAACCTTTTAAAATTCTGAAAGCAGGCAGGATCCAATGGTGAACACCTGGTTGGGAGGCTGAGGCAAGAAGATCGCCAGCCTCAGCAAGAGAGAGGCACTAAGCAACTCTAAATAAAACACAAAATAGGGCTGGGGATGTGGCTCAGTGGTTGAGTGCCTGAGTTCAAACCCGAGTGACTTAAAAAAATCTGAAAACAAATTTTGTGATCATTAACACTATTGATAAAATTTATCTAAATTTAAACGATATTCAATCCTTAAATGGATTTTTTATATTACTCCCTCAATATACAAATACTATTCTAGTATTTAATACATTAAACTTGCAAGAAAAATTTCTGACAAGCAATTATCTTAATTAGAAACAGGCAATAAAAATATCACACCAAATTCCTCATTAGAGTTTAAGATATTGCACCTTAAAATTAACCCAGACCCTTCTCTTCCCATCTGTGCCACATCTAAACAATTGCTAAGGTTCTTTATGTCTATCACTGCCAACTTAATGTAGGCTGTTAGCAACTCCACATCTCCCACTCTTGCTTTATACCATGTCTTATCAAGTTGCACCAATTTCTTTTATTATAAAGAAAATAACAATGAGGGCTAGGGTTTTGGCTCAGCGGTAAAACACTCACTTAGCAAATTTGAGGCCCTGGGTTCGATTCTCAGCACCACATAAAAACAAATAAATAAAGGTATTGTGTACAACTACAACTAAAAAATAAATATTTAAAAAAAAAAAGAAAGAAAAACAAAATAACAATGAGGGTTAGGGTTGTGGCTCACTGGTAGAGCATTTGCCTACCAAGTATGAGGCACTGGCCTCAATCCTCAGCACCACATAAAAATAAATAAGTAGGTGCTTGCCTAGCACATGTGAGGCCCTGGGTTCCATCCTCAGCACCACATAAAAATAAAAAATAAATAAAATAAAGGTATAAGAAACAAATTTTAAAATAAATAAGAGTAAAATAAATGTATTGTGTCCATCTACAACTAAAGATATTAGACAATAACGAAAGTTCATGACAGAAACACACACAGAGAAAACTGAGCCCCCCCCCCCCGCCCAAAATACTACAGTATCATTTACTTTTGTGAATGATCAACTTTTCCAGTTTTCTTTTAGCAGCTGCTCTTTCCACAATTTTCTGGTCAATAGTATTTGCTGTAACAAGGCGATATACAACAACTGGCTTTGTCTGACCAATTCTATGACATCGATCCTGGGCCTGAAGATCAGACTGGGGGTTCTTCAAATTAAAAGGAAAAAGTGAACAACATTGAACAGTACTAGAATAAAATTAACTTTAACTCACAGTTAATGCATAAACTCATCATTCATGATCCAATGAGCAACTTTTATTAAACTTTTTGTGTTGCCTTAGCTCATTTTAGACTTACACAGTAGCTTCTATAATGACAAACCATGAAAATGTTTAAAGACTCAAAAGAAAGCATTACAAGTTAATATATGCAGAAAAAATTATCAATACTCTTGACCTTAAAACAGACACTTCTCAAAGTAGATAAGTGAAATTATTAAAATATATATAAGAATGATTAAAAATTCAGATTAGAAATATCAACAGCATATTGCTATACCTTCAACTTACCCAATCACTATCATAAATGATAACTGTATCTGCTGCAGTCAAATTAATGCCCAGGCCACCAGCTCGTGTACTCACTAAGAAGATAAACACATCTGGATCTGTGTTGAAACTGTGCATCTAAAAGCAAAAAGACGTAAACAACTTCAACCATTAAGACTGCAGATGGGATGAGCTGGGGATGTAGCTAAGTCTTAGTAGAATGCTTGTCTAGCATGTATCAATTTGAGTTCAATCCCTCATGAGGGAAGGAAGGAGAAAAGCAAAGAAAGAGCCGTAATTTAGGCAGGAATGGTTTTGTATTCCTGTAATCCCAAGAACTTGGGAGGCTAAGCGAAGAGGATCACAAGTATGAGCCCAGCCTCAGTAACTTAGGGAGACCCTGTATCAAAATAAAAAACGAGTTTAAAAATGGGAAAGCTGGGATGTGACTCAGCGGTTAAACACCGGTGCATTCATACCTGGTACCCGCCGCACCAAAAAAAAAAAAAAAAAAAAAAAAAGGACCAGGGATTGAGATATTTATTTCTTATACCACACAAAGAATTTTCGAAGAGAGGCCAAATCAGTCTTTCAGATTTTCAAAACAATTACGTAAACTAATAAAAATCTCTCCTTGTGTTAACTTGATTTTTCAAATATCTATCTTACTAAGGAGATCTTAAATTTTTAAATTTTTGGTTGTAGATGGACACAATACCTTTATTTTGTTTATTTATTTATTTTTATGTGGTGCTGAGAATGGAACCTACCACCTCATGCATGCCAGGCAAGCGCTCTACCACTTAGCCATGCCCTACCATCTTAATTTTTAAAAATTTTTCACAGAAAAGTTTAAATAAAAATAACTAATGCAAAAACTGGTTAAAAAATTCAGTAACAAACAGTTGCATAAAAAAATCAAGTGGGTGAGAAGGGTAGATTAACCTGGAAGAGATAGAAACCTTTCTAGGCTAATGATAATGTTCTATGTATTAACAGGGTTTAGGACATGTTTATATGTATAAATGTATAAACATATATATACACACGTTTATATATACAATAATGAGAACCTGTCTTAAAATAAAAATGAAAAATAAATAGGGTTAGGATGTGACTAAGTGGTTAAGTATCCCTAGGTTCAATCCCTGAGTACTGCAAAAGTTATAATTTTATTATGTATGACATAAATAGTCTTACATTTTCTTCTCTCTCGGAATAAGACATGGACCCATCAAGCCTGCTAAAGTTGAAATTTCTAAGATGGCAGTAATCCATCAGAATGTCCAACATTCTTGTCATTTGTGAAAAAAGCAGCACCTGAAATTGAGATATACCTTAGTATGCATAGTGTCTATACTGCTTCATAAAAAATAATGAAACAATTAAAAATTCCACACAAATTACCACCTTGTGACCTCTTTTTTTCAGTTCTGGCAACATTCGATCCAAAATTAAGAATTTCCCAGAATTTGTTACTAATTCTTCATCAATCTTTAAAAATGGACAAAGAAGAAAAATGTCACTATAATTACTAATCTCTTTATAAAAATTAAAAACATACAATTTCAGTGATAAACCATTATAAAACTTTTCTAAAAATTGACCTTGTTATTATTTTTAAATCAGTAGTTACTTCAAGACACTCTAGAATGAAAACTCAGTGATCTCACACAAAAGTTCAAGTATAATCATGAACCTATCTGAGAACCACAGTCCCTCAAAGAATTTGTCAAACTCACTGTGTGTATGCTGAGGTTTATAACTGCGTAAATTATGGAGAAACATTGCTATTAGAATTCTCAGTAAAAATTAAAAAAACATATGAGTGTAAAACCAATCTAACTATTGAGGGTAAATAAAATGTTTATCTTTTAGCTTGGAGGAAAAAAAGTTCATCTTTTGGTGAAGTTTCCTTCAGAAAGAGATTTCCACTTGAGTAGGAAAGCTTTTATTTTCTTTACTCAAAAGTGTAAAGTATGATTCTCAAAATAAGGGCAAATTTGCCTTCCAACGTAAGGGGACATTCAGCAATTGCTAGAGGCATTTTAGGTTTTCACAAACGGGGAAAATGGACCTACTGGCTACCAAAGGCCAAAGATGCTGATAAACGTGGACAGTGCACAGGACTTTACCTCCTAAATAAAAACTATCTGGCTCAAAATGTCAATACTGCCAGGGTTGAGAAACCCTGCTATTAATTAGTATGAAATCCTTCATCACTAAAAACAATTTAACACTATGCTATTTTTTTTAATCAACTGCAATTTCATTCACTTAATCTGAAAGTCCCCAACTATTATCAACTTTTTGGTTTTCTTCTGTAGCCATTTGTGACTCATAATTAATGAGCAGCAGATTTGACAAGCTAAATATTAACTAAAAGGAATACTGAAAAAATGACAACTATCTCTAAGAGAGCAAAAATAGAAATTGACTACTTTACAAAATTCAGAATAATTCCTAGCTGTTCATATAGCTGTAAGGAAATAAGTTGGACTGTACACAAAAAGACCATCATTCCAACCCTCCTTAAGTTCTCTAAACTTGGGGTGGGGTGGAGTGGGGGTGGTGGAAGACTCAGTTTACTGGATTATAATCTTGATGATACACAACACAGTATTTTAAAAAATAAACCAAAAAAAATAATACTTTAACCCAATGTTAAAGGTACAAAATTATTAAACAGTATTCACCTTAAACTCTTGTGTAACAGGATCTATAGGATATTCAATCAGATATGGATGATTACAGCATTTACGAAGTAGCATCATTATATTCTGCAGCTTCAGATTAACTTCAGATTCTATAGGGCTATTCACTTCCACCACAGTTCTATCAAAAACATTAATGTGTACGTATAAGAAATACAAAACACATCAGAGTTTGAAGAATACTTAAAAGTTATTTTAAACTCACACCTTTCTCTGTCCACCTCTGGCTGTATTTGACTGATCAGTTTTTCCAATTCATTAGGAAAGTTATCTATCTTGCTGTAATTTATTGATTTTCTAGTTCGCCGTTTTGGTCGTCCAGTAGGACTTAGTTCAACTGTTTCTTTCTAAAAAAGAACAAATTAAAATACCCATTTATAAAGCTAGACAATGAAGTCCTACCTATAAGTGAAGTATAATATTTTTATGTACAAACTGACTTTTAAGACTTAAATAAATACTGATTTTCTCCTTCAGCAATTTTGAAGACGACAGCAAATTTCAGCAATTTTAGGGATCGAACCCACGGACGCTAAGTCATATCCACAGTCTCTAACCCCCTTCTTTTGAGATAGGATCTAAGTTGCTGAGGCTTGCCTTGAACTTGTAATCCTCCTGCCTCAGCCTCCTGGATTGCTGGGATTAGGACATATGCCACCATGCTGGCTCTTTCATCAACTTTTAGTAATACCCAAAGGCACGATTACCTCACAGCCATAATCTATACTCAAATACAAATGTGTAAAATTTGTTTTATTACTGAAAATAACATTTGAAAGTGAGAATATCTTTATTGCTCAGTAGAAAAACATAAAGGATATGTAAGACATTAGAATTTATGAGTTTCCTGATTTCATTACATGATAATCGCATCCCATTTCCACTTCTTTGGAACTGCGGATGTGGAGAAAAATGGTACAGATGGCAAGCCTTCAGTGTTTATCAAATAACAGTGAGGGTTTTTTTCCCGTATGTTTTTGCTTTTGTTTTGGTACTGGCAATTGAAGCTCAGGAGAGCACTTTATCACTGAGCTGCACCCCTATCCCTTTTTAATTTTTGAGACAGAATCTCACTAAATTTCTGAGGTTGGCCTCAAACTTAGAATCCTCCTGCCTCAGCTCCCCAAGTTGCTGGGATCAGGGGAATATAGCCCCACACCCAGCTGTGTACTTGCATTAAATGCATTTCTAAATCCATTCCCAGACAGCAATAATTAACGTTAATCTGACATAGAAATTTAAAATTTTGTTAACAAACATTTCAGATGATCACAAAGCAGTAAATCCAGAGACCAACTAAATTTCAGGATTATTTATACTAGAAAAAAAAACTTCTGCTTCTGGTCTTATGCCTAATACTTCAGTTACAAATTCATAACAACAAATCCCGAGAACAGGTAAAGAGCCATAAGACTGACATAATTGTGAAGTTTTATTATCATGTTACATTCACAGTATATTTCAAGCACACACTATACCTCACTGGTTCCAAACATATTTGCAATTGTACGATTCACAATTGCTGTGTAAAAGACTTCTTGTTTCTTCGAAAGCGGTGCATAAACAACTACTTCTCGTTTAGGAGGAACTTCAAGAGCAACATCAGATTTTAGTCTTCTTAGTAAAAAAGGAGTCAGAATCTAAAATTGCAACATAAACAAATAAATATAAATATAATATTTTTTCAAATAACATCCCCACAAACTCCTTATCCTTCTTTCTCCTATGCCACTATAAACAATCAATTCTTGAAATGTGAAATTAAAATATCATCCTTGAAATTTCCCATATCAGACTAGCACATTATAAATTCATAAAATCTCTAAGATTGTATCTTAATAATTTAAAGAGCAGAAATTTTTAAAAGATGGTATTTAACAACTTGGGAGGCAGAGAGGAGTATTCCAAGTTCAAGGACAACCTTGGCAACTTAGCAAGATCTTGTCTCAAAAAGTAAACAAATATATAAAAAAGGAGTGGGATGTAACTCAGTGGTAGGGTAGCCCTGGGTTCAATCTCCAGTACCCAGGGTAAGGATAAGGAGTAATATTTTACTTAGGTTTTCAATATAGTCCGCAAATTTCAGAGTGAGGTTTTAGGCCAATAGAAAGCCAACCCAACTAAGAACATAAACATGAAAAATTGTGCGTGTGTGTATGTGTCTACAGATATTTTTTCCATGTTGCCCAGGCTTACTTCAAACTCCTAACCTTCCTGTGTCAGCCTCCTGAGCAACTAGGAATTTAAGTGAACACCATAACACATGGTAAATTTCTCCTTAAACTCTAAAACTTCAGGCTTAAAACAACTCTCCGTTATTACAAATTATCATATTTATAAATAGAACACAGACATAATTATGCCATTATTAATTTTTGTCATTTAAAATATAAACATTTGTTTAAACTTTTCTGAAGTTACTAATCCAGAAACAAATACACATCAGGGAGAAAATACAAATGTTCCTATCTTCAAAGAGAACATGATAATAATGAGATATATTTTTCCACCAATGCACTTATATTTAAAAGTACAATGTTATCTAGAAATGGAAAATATGTGGAAGAGGCATTCATACACTGTTCCAAAACATTTATACGGCTTATTTATATATGTATTTGTCAGCATACAAGTATTAAAATAGAAGTAAGACTATGCTAGTTATACTTGGGCAAGAGAAAAAGAAGTGCAGGGGAAACAGGAGAAAATTTTTACTTTTCATTGTCCAGATTTCTATACTATTCAAAGACTTTTTACCATATATTATTTTTAAGTAAGTGAATCTTTAAATGTGATGCTGTTTTGGGTCTCTAATGTGGAAAGGAACTAGGAAAAAAATTAGAGAGCTTTACACAGAAAGTTAAAAATTATATTTTTGAAGATACTATAAGTTTGTGACATGTATATCCACATGGACAGTTCAATTTTTTTAAAAAGTATACTGAGGCCAGGCATGGTGGTGCATGTCTGTAATCCCAGAGGCTCAGGAAGGAGAATCATGAGTTCAAAGCCAACCTCAGCAACTTAGCGAGACCTGAGAAACTCAGTGAGACCCTGTCTGTAAATAAAAAATATAAAAAAGGGCCAGGGATGTGGTTCAGTGGTTAAGCGACCCTGGGTTCAATCCCTGGTATGAAAAAACAAAAGTATACGAAGTAGGATACAAATCTTAAGTCAACAACACTAGATATACTAGGATTATATTTCCTCAAATGAGATGAAATTTTTAAAGATTAATGATGAAAAGGTCAGCTAAATACACATTTTAAGAAAGAAGAATAAAGATTACAGATGCAAATAATAATTGTTTTTATTATTATAGATGGACAGCATACTTTTATTTTGTTTATTTTTATGTGGTGCTGAGAATCAAACCCAGTGCCTCACACATGCTAGGCAAACACTCTGCCACAGAGCTACAGCCCTAGCCCCTGTAAATGACAATTCTAAAAATAAGCAAATTGTAAGAGTTTCAATGTTTAAAAGTTTTGATTTATGAAAAATTAAGTATAACACTGTAAGAATGATGACGCTTAATTTGAGATATTATCTCAATAGCTTATAGCAAAAGAATATGAAAAACAAATATATTCAGCATCTTTCATATAATTAAATCCAAAATGCAATGTAGACTCAGATTCAGGATGTGAGTTTTGCTTTACATTTTATACACTAATACTTTGAAATATCTCTAAGTAAATATCTTAAAGGAAGGCTAAGCAAGTATAGCAAGTCAGTGAGAGATGAAAGCATATGAAAACATTTCAAATTCTTTCTTATAGAATTTATAGAATATACTGAAACACCAAGGAATTTTAAAAAGTTTGAGTAAGAAATATACAAGACATTCAAAACTATCTCCTACTATTCTGACTTTACGTTTAATAAAGACTTTCCCCCAGGTAATTCATTTAAACAAAATTAGGAGGAAAGCATGAGTTACCATAAGACAAATTTAAACAGTGTTACACAGATTTTCTTAGCACTGTGGTTCTGAAAAATGCCATGACTCTTGATATATTATTGAATTCAGAGATGGGTATATTAAATTCACTATCATAATCTTTATACTCAAGTAAACTTGAAGTTCTTTCCCATAAAAATAGCAATTCCAGTATACCTCCTTGTAAAACATCAACTAAAAAATATTAAATCAGATGGCCATTTCTCACGAATATCTTTAAAAGGACTATTGCACTGGGAAGACTTTTCACCTAGATTCCTCTAAGACCCACTCTTAAGTGCCAAATTCTACAAATTTTAACTGACTTAACTTTATAAGTTTCCTAAGAAACCTAATATCAAAGCCTTACTTTGCTATCCTATTTGCTACATCAAGCCAAAACACATCTGTTCCTTTATAAGCTATATTCACACACTAGGACACTTTACCCAAAAGTATCCGTAACAGCTATTAGCACACCAAAAAAAATCTTAAAAACCTCAGGAAAACACACATAAAGACACCATAAAAGGCCGAGTTCATTGGCATAAGCCTGTAATCCCAGCAGCTTGGGAGGTTGAGGCAGGAGGATCAAAAGTTCAAAGCCAGCCTCAGCAAGAGAGGCACTAAGCAACTCAGTGAGACCTTGTCTCTAACTAAAATACAAAATAGGTCTAAGGATGTGGCTCAGTGGTTGAGTGCCCTTGAGTTCAATCCCTGGTACCAAAACCAAAAGGACACCATAAAAAATGTACATACACACACACACACAAAGTCCAAAAAAGAAAAGAGATACATATGGTATATAAATTCGTTCTGAAGGGCAATTTTCCAACATGTCAAAAGCCTTAATATATACACTTTCCCAGCAATACTACTTGGAATTCTCAGGAAATAAGCCAAAATAAACAAGATATAAGTATAGGTACTTGTTTATAATAGAGAAAAATGTTGAAATACTAAAAGGTAGATACAATTAATTGTAAAGAAACATGATAATGGGATAATAAGCCCGTTATTAAAATGTAATGAGAGGGGCTGGGGTTGTGGCTCAGTGGTAGAGCACTTGCCTAATATGCGTGAGGTCCTGAGTTCAATTCTCAGCTCTGCAGATAAAATAAATTTCTCACAGACAACTAAAAACCTGTTTAAAAAAAATTTTTTTTCCAGGGCTAGGGATGTGGCTCAAGCGGTAGCACGCTCGCCTGGCATGCATGCGGCCCGGGTTCGATCCTCAGCACCACATACAAAGATGTTATACCACCAAGAACTAAAAAATAAATATTAAAAAATTCTCTCTTAAAAAAAAAAATGTACCAATGGGAAAAGAAGAGAAAACAATCTTATGGGTTAAGTTTACATGTAGCGACAGAAAAAAAATTGTAAAAAATAGTAAATTGATAATTTTATTAAAAAAAAACCCTATCTCACAAATAAGAAGCTTTTTAGGGCCACATTACTAGACCTTTAAAAGATCATATTAATCTAAAGATAAATAGTATAGAAGGAGAATGGTAGAAGGTAAGGAGGACAGGAGGGAAGGAAAGCTTGGGAAATAGGGTAGAATGGATGAAATATTAAATGCAGATAGCAGTGAGAAAAATTATTAAAACACAGGCAGAACCAGCCTGTAATCCTAGAAACTAAGGAGGTTGAGGTAGGAAGATGGAAAATTTGAGGCCAGCCTCAGCAACTGAGTAAGACCCTATGATATGATTAAAAAGGCAGCTAAGCACGGTGACACACACCTGTAATCCAAGCTACTCAGGAGGCTGAGGCAAGTGGATCACAAGTTCTAGGCTAGCATGGGCAAATTGGTAAATCCCTATCTCAAAATAAGAAGGAAAAAAAAAAGTGTGCAGGATGGGTTGGGGACACAACCCTCGAGTGTTAACCAGTGGTAGAGAACTTGTCTGGAATGTGGAAGCCCCTGAGTTCAATTCTCAGTACCAAGTTTTTAAAAGGGCAAAATTTAATTAAGCACTTGAATTGTGCCATAAAATTTCCCTCTGAGAGGGAATTTGGGAAGATTCATTTTTCTAGTGTCCACTTCCAAGGCTTATTCTATGAGTATATAGTAAGCAGAATAAGAAAATAGTCAACACCTGGTGCAGCATATGCAATACATTCTGCTCTCTTTCTTTGGCTATAATGTCTTCAGCAGTTTCAGAAAGACTAGTGATGTCAAACCAAGACTCAAAGCTGGAAAAAAAAAAAATCATAAATTAACTTATCATGATTCAATTATATTAACACATGCTTTACAATTTTATATTAATTTGCATATATCAAGCATGGATATTTGTGCACCAACCTCTTAGATGCAATTTTTTAATGTAAAGAATACATTCCAACAACAAAGAGGAAATGATTATATTTTTTCAACCAACAATCAAGAACTGTGATTTGGTAGAAGGCCCGGAGTTCAATCCCGGTACTGAAGGAAAGAAAAAAAAAAAATGCTCGCCTAGCAATGTGAAGCCCTGGGTTTTATTCCCAGCATCACAAAAATAATTAATTACTTTAATTAAGATCTATGATTTGGGGCTGGGGATGTGGCTCAAGTGGTAGCATGCTCGCCTAGCATGTGCAGGGCGCTGGGTTTGATCCTCAACACCACATAAAAATAAAATAAAGATATGTGTCCACCTAAAACTAAAAAACAAATATTAAAAAATGAGTAATTAAGTATAAACATGCACATATTAATAATCTAAATAATGTTATATTGTTAATATCTAATTTTGAAAAAAAATGCTACTTTCATGTAGTAGTTAGATCAGATTTTTTTCAAACAGATTCCAATTTAGTAGCTCTATAGGACCTGAAAATCTTTTCCTTTAGTAAAAGTTTGCATAGTAATAATAATCAGCCTGACCCTGGGCCAATATTTGGAAATCCGATTTAGAACACATTCTCAAAATAAAACATTACGTAGCTTCCCCATGAAATATATGTCAGTCAGTTTTTTCACCTCATTCTGTTGTATTTCCATCTAAAATATTTTTGTCATCTTGTCTCCTCTTCCACTGAGTATACCTTTTCCAAAAACTTTTTATTTTTTTTTTATGACATAAGCTAAATTCAAACAATTTCTAGAATAAAACTGCTAGGTTGAAATCAGGAAATCGGTCTGGGGTTGTGGCTCAGTGTCAGAGCACTTGCCTAGCATGTGTGAGGCACTGGGTTCAATTCTCAGCACCACTTATCAATAAGTAAAATAAAGCTTCATTGACAACTAAAAAAAAAAAAAAAATACTTAGACTTTCTTATATGTGAGACAAGGAATATATTTAACCTCTTTATCTCCATGGATTGTTTTGTAAAGATAAAAACAAAACAAGATCTTATTATAAAAATATTTGTGTAAGATAATATTTTTAGTTTTTCTTTAATCAATACAAGTAAGGTTTTTTGTTTTGTTTTGTTCTGTTTTATAGTGCTTGGGGAAAAAAACAGAGCCTCACATGTGCTAGGCAAGTATAATACCACTAAGCTACCTCACCAGTCCAATGCAAATTCAGTTTTAAATCATCTTTTATCTGCTTTCACATACTTTGTGTCAAAACAGAACACACTTTGAAATACACCACAAAAAAAATATATCACAAAGAACCTGACAAAATAATCATTTAAATTCAGCTACCTAGAAGAAAGGAAATAATTTCAGCTAAGAGAACAGATTTTTGAGATTTGAAAAAAAAAACCAGAAAACAGTTAAATAACTGGCTTACCTACCTTTTCAAGTCATCAAATACATCTGGCAACAAAAAGTTTAGCAATGACCAAAGTTCTGATAAATTGTTTTGTAAGGGAGTACCAGTCAAAAGAAGTTTGTTATCAGCATTGAACCGTTTTAACTCCCTGATTAGACGGCATTTCATATTCTTAATCCTGTGTCCTTCATCTACTATTAAGTATTTCCAATAACAATGCTAGAAAATGAATTGAGAAAAAAATTTTAAATAATTATCGTACAGTTTTTCCTAAAAACAATTTTAAAAATATAACTTTTCTTAGGACTGGTTGTTTTATTTTTATTAAATATTATATTTATATTTATTGAAATAATCATGTTTTCCTTTGATCCAGTAATGGGACAAATTAATAGATTACTAAAACCAATATGTCATTCTAATCCTAGAACAGATTTCACTAGATATGAAATAATACTTAAGTCCACCTGCTAGTCCTCATTCACTTTTTAGTAAAAGTATCTTTTCTAATGTTTTACCAAGTTCTGCTGTTGGATTCCTAAAAATTACTATATTCCTAAAAAATTATCAAGACCTTTCATTAGTTCCACATGGTCAGAAATGTTAAACAGCATTATAATGTTCAGTCTGGAGGCCTATATCTGAAATTAATATTCTTTTTAATTGGACAATGTTCTCAATGTTTCTAAGTTATTGATTTGCTCCTTTCTTCTGAAGTCAATTTTAGCAACTTATATTATCAAAGATATATATTTGTATTCATAAAGCTGTCATTAAAATTATTTTCTCATTTTTAATATCTGTGTTTTCTCTTTTATCTTATCAGGCAAACTTAAGTTTATCTAATTTATTGTAAAATAATAGAAATATTAAACATTTCTGGAAATATAAATACATCAAACTCAAATGTTAAGTATCTTTAAAAAATGAGACTGGCAAATTGGGAATAGAGTATGAAATAAGGATCTTTTACATTGAACTTTATACAATACAGTCCTAACAGAATAAAAAAATTACACTATTGTTACTCTTTAAATAAAATCACTTGAAAGGGACTTATTCTCCTAGCAAATTTTTGGCAATCCTTAATTTTCTCTCACTACAAGACACCTATCTGAAACTGCCATATAAAATAAAATACCCTTTATAAATGAGTAAGTGAAAAACTAAGGAAACAAATGTTAAGGAACCTGGAAAACAAATTAGTCAGGTCTGAAACTTCTCTTGTCACACACCAAACAGGAGCCTCAGAACACTACTCCCATTTGAAATTGACAAGGAAACTTAACTATTTCAATATGGGCTGGATAGGGAGAGGAAATTAATTAGATAGAATTTCAGGTACTCTATCTTTTCATATTCTACTTCTTTTACAAGTAGTTAACTTTTACTGTGGAAAAATAGTTATGATATTTTTTATTGTTGCAAATATTCATAAACTTTGTTAAACTTGTTAGCTAAGACTTCTGCAAATCACATTCCAAAGTTCCACCCACACATATAATATCTGACATATACTGGTCATTGATTATGGAAGCCATTAAGCTCCATTTATGACTTGATGTCATTACTTAAGTTACTTTCTTTATTTCACACAAGAAAAACTTAAAAAGACCTGACTCAGCAGGAACATTACATGATCAGGGAAAAAGCAAAACAACAAGGATCATGTATGAAATAACTGAAGTAGTAAGTAATTTTCTAACTGCATTGTAATAATATGAATATTAATAAGTGAGTAGCTATGATATCAAGAGATACAGAGATGGAAATGTTACCGACAGTCCCATAAAAAAACTTTGTCTTCAAATATTCTATTCTTATTTGATTAAAACAAGTTGGATTGATAAATTCATGTACTCAAAAGCACGTGCTACTGGGGGGCTAGGGTTGTGGCTCAGTGGTAGAGCACTTGCCTAACAGGCGTGAGGTGCTGGGTTCTATCCCTGGCATCATATATAAAAAAAAAAAAACAATAACAAAAAAGCTTCCTTAAAAAAAAAAAAGAAAAAGTACATGTTACAAACATATCTGTAGTATATTCAGATTATGTATGACTAACACACTTAAAGTAATAATTATGGCCAAAGTTTAAAATGCTATAAGATTTAATTTTGCTAAGAAATACCACATTTTATCCCAATCTTTAATATGAGCCTCCAGAACAATACCCTCGATTAATTTCAACCAAAAAAATTTAAACAAATGCCACTGAATGGTAAGTGGTATGAATTAAATAGTTACAGATCATAAAGAAACCAGTGAAGACCACCTGTACCTGTAATGCATTTCGGTCTCTCATGGCTATTTCAAATGATGTAATTACCACAGGATGAATCTGCAGTGTCCCTTTCCTTTTGTGAATATTCCTTACCAATTTTTGACGTTCTTCCTGAGTTCCATGATATAACATTGTCGGAATCTAAAAGATTTTATATCAATTTGGAACAAAATTTAAGTATTAATTATTTGAAAAGCATGAAATATAAATAAACAAAATAAAGGTATTGTGTCCATCTACAACTAAAAAAGAAATTTTAAAAAGGGGGGGAAAATATATTCTTCTCATAAGGTAAGAATGTGATTAAAACAATTTATATGTGGCAAATGCCAGATAAGAACAAACAGAATTTTTGAAAAGTTCTACCTAGGTCTATATAAGGGGAATCAAATCATGCAATCTAGAGAACTCTTTACAGGTACATTTTAGGCAAGATGTCTAAGATTGCCAGTACCAACTCTTCTGTATAAACTTTAAGAATGACACTACTCAGATTAAAAAAGTCAAATCAAATGCAATGCTTATACAGAAACCAGTATTATCGTAGGAGCTCTATAATTCCTGCAATAATACATGTGAAATAATATATTTAATATAAGGAAACATGTCTTACTTCTGGTGTAAACCTTTTGAATTCGGCCATCCAGTTAGGAAGTGTAGACAAAGGGCCACAAACAAGAAAAGGTCCAGGCACTCCTCTCTGAATCATCAATGCAATTGTAGCAATGCACTGAACTGTCTTTCCGAGGCCCATTTCATCTGCTAAAATGCCATTAATTCCATTTTCCCAAAGCATCTAGACAAAAGAATATACACTGAATTTAAATTGTGATAAAAACATCTACTGAATTATTAAAGGTTTATTTCTTTTGTACAAGCATACTCAATGGCAATTATGATGTGACTGACATATTAATGCCATAAATTATAATAACACTTGTGGGATGACTTTTATCAAAGCCATTATAAAGTGCCAGAATTCTAACTGTACCTCAGTGGCAGAGTGCTTGCCTAGCAGTGTGAGGCACTGGGTTGGATCCTCAGCACAATATAATAAATAAAACAAAGGAATTCTGTCATCTACAACTATAAAAAAAATTTAACAGCAACAACAACAAAAAAGACAACTCATTACCCTAAGCCATTCCATGCCTTCTACTTGGTACCATCGCATCACTCCTCCTGTAAAGTACTTTGGTTGTTGAAAGGGCACTGGCTGTCCATTACATTTCCGAACTGGGTCAAAAAAGAATTTAGCATTCTGCCTAACTGTCTGAGACAATCTATCTTTAATCATACTATTTGAATCTTTATTTTTCTGAAGATCTTCTACACAGAGATTAGCAGAGGAGGAACTTTCATCCTGCAAAGAAAAAAAAGTTTAATTATAAGTCTGACACAAAATGCTACTATATTCCTCACCTCATGTATCCAAAAAACATTATCAAAATGTACCTCTTCCTATATTCATTAGGTAAGAAGAACGAAGATCATTGGTTAAGTGCCCTTGGGTTCAATCCCAGGTACAAAAAAAGGGGAAAAGTCTTAGAAATGATGCTGAAACAACTGTATATTTAAGTGGAAAAATATTAAACTCAAATGTCATTATTCCACACAAATCTATTTGTGATAAAATCACAGGTATAAATATAAAATGAAAAGAATTATCTTGATAACCTTGTGACAGTTGTACATCCCTTGAACAAGACAAAGACGGAACAACAAAAAGAAAAGATAAATCCAACTATTACAAACACTATCATTAGTAATTAGGAAAACAAGTTAAAAACACAAGGTATCATTTCAGTTGCACAGAATGATTAAAATTAAAAATGACTGACAACATCAAATGCTGGCAATAATGTGAAGTAGAATTCCCCAATACTGCTGTCCAAAGAGTAAAATGTATGTTTGTCTATATATAAGAATTGTGGGATAGGCTGGGGATGTGGCTCAAGCAGTAGCGCGCTCGCCTGGCATGCATGCGGCTCAGGTTCGATCCTCAGCACCACATACCAAAAAAGATGTTGTGTCCACCGAAAACTAAAAAATAAATAAATATTAAAAAAAAGAATTGTGGGGCTTAATTGTAGCTCAGTGGTAGAACACTTGCCTAGCACATGTAAGGCATTGGGTTTGATCCTCAGCACCACAAAAAATAAAATAAAGGTACTATGTTCATCTACAACTAAAAACTATATATTAAAAAGCTTAGGACTGAGATTGTGGCTCAGCCATACAGAGCTTGCCTAGCACGTGTGAAGCCCTGGGTTTGATCCTCAGCATCACATAAAAATAAATAAAATAAAGGTATTATGTACAACTACAATTAAAAAATAAATATTAAAAAAAAAAAAAAACTTAAGAGAGGAGCTGGGGCTCAGTGGTAGTGCACTTGTCCAGATCACAAGTTCAAAACCAGCCTCAGCAACATACCAATACCCAAAGCAATTTAGTGAGATCCTTTCTCAAAATAAAAAGGGATGTGGGTGTTGCTCAGTGGTAAAGGGCCAATGGGTACAATCCTTGGTACCAAAAATTAAATAAAGTACCTCTCATTTCATAATCATGACATGAATTTTTCCAGTGGCCTATTAATCTGAAGTATAAATTAATCACTAGAAGTTTATATCCATTAGTAAATATTTTCATGTTAATTATTTTGCTTCTGCTTCCCTATGCAAACATGTTAACTATTAGGGCTTAAGTTAGGGAATACTCAAGATTAAAAAGGAACCTCATGGGGCTGGGGTTGTGGCTCAAGTGGTAATGTGCTGGCCTGGCATTAATGAGGCACTGGGTTCGATCCTCAGCACCACATAAAAATAAAGATATTGTGTCCACCTAAAACAAAACGATAGTGGCAGATAGGTGGGATGTAGGAAGAGAAATCTAGCCTTCCCAAACAGAACTAGAGAAAATCTTTAAGGTCAGAAACAAGATAAAGGCATCCCCCACAGTTTCTACCTGATGACCCACCTATATATCCACATATTTATAGGTACCTGTATCATTTCTAGATTCAAAAGTTTAAGGCATTATTATTGCTAGATGCATTCATTGATACTGATACATCAAAGAACATGTTATGAACACCTGAAGTTGAAATGTAAGAAAGAATGTTAAGATTAAAAAAAAAAAAATTGGATTTTTTTTTTTTAAAGCAGAGAAATGGAATGAATGGTGAGAAAAATCTCCAGTGGTGACTAAAAGAAAAGGGGATGAGCCAGGCATGGTGGTGCATGCCCATAATCCCAGGAGAATCACAAGTTCAAGGCCAGTCTCAGCAACTTAGCAAGGCCCTCAGCTACTTGGCAAAACACTGTCTCAAGACAAAATTAATTTTTTTTTGTGGACACCTTACCTCTTTTTCCTTTTTATTTTTTTTAGCCACAGACAGAATTTCCTAGAAGATTGAAAAGCCAAAAATAAATTAGTAATATTTGCACATTTATTCATTTATTTATTGAACCAACATTTATTTTGTGCTAATCTTATGCAGATAAGGCACTTAAGGTAATTTACTAAAATAGAGAATCTCAAAACTGGTGGTTATAAGGCAGAATTAAGCCATTTTTTTGGCTCAGAACTCTCATAATATTCAAAATTGTCAAAACTTTAATTTTTTTTTAACAAAGAGACTAAGTACAATTTCACACACATCAACTATCGTCTATTCAGCAAATGACAACCTACAGACCAACTCTACCTGGCAGCCAATTACTGTAAATACAGTTTAGATGAGCTTGATGTGGCAGGGCACACCTATAATCCCAGCTACTCAGGAGACCAAGGAGGAGGATCACAAGTTTGCCAACTTAGCAAGACCCTGCCTCAAAGAAAATGAAAAAGAATAAAGACTGGGCATGTGGATTAGAAGTAAAGCACCCCTGGTGCCGCAATACCTCTCAAGGGGCTTTACAAATTTTTTTTTTAGATGAAACAAAGTTAGACTCATTTGTTTAGAGTATATCTATGGCTGTTTTCAGGAAATACTAGCAAGAGTTCAGATTTCAGTAGTTAACCACAAAACCATTCAAAACTTAAAAATATTATCTTACTATTTACACAAAGTTTGTCTAATCCTACTCCAATCTACTTTGGGCATTTCTGTGGATAGATAGATCTGAGTTTACAAGACTAGTTAAAAATCAAAGATGAATACTCTAAAAATACAGAATAAACTTCTAGTTTTGAATGACAGTCATGTACTATCTACCAGACAATACATTATGGCCACCTGGTGACCTAACAGAGCATTGTTATTCCAAATTATTTTAAAAAGTTGTCATGAGGCTTAATCATTAAAGTATATTTCAAGCAGAAAAGTATGAGAAAAACATGTACCAAAGACACAGGGAATTAAATACTTTCAAGAAACTTTAAGCAAATATCAAATTTAAGATGCACAGGAGAACAACAGAATGTCAGTAAGTGGCAGACACACATGCATATATGTATATGTGTGTGTCATATACGCATATAAAGTATGATGCAATTTAAGTACAGATATTTCTACTACAAGGATGCAAGGATTTAATATAGTTAACTGAAAGAAGTGTTGTCCTTTAAATAAACTGAGATTTTTTGAGAGTAATCCGGGAAAAAAATTAAAACATAAACACCATTTATGATGTATTCTTATCGTAAATCAAACTTTTTGACCTATCAGTTAACAGGAAATACAAGGGATACAGAAATTATGAGGATGCAATAAGCAAAAATCCAGAAATTGGAAATCATACAGAATACTTTTTAATCTCAAATTTAAAAAACATTAAAAATAAAAAAGAATTAGCTGGGGATGTAGCTCAGAGGTAGAGCACTTGCCTACATGTACAAGGTCATCGGCTCAATTTCCACTACAGGTAAACTAATAAGCAAAAACAAAAAAGTAATTTGCAATTGAAAAAAGTCAACAGAGCTGGTGCAGTGGAGGACACCCCAAATCCCAGCTGCTTGGGAGGCCTGAGACATGAGAATGGCAAGTTCAAAGCCAGCCTCAGGAACTTAACAAGACCCTGTCTCCAAATAAAAAATAAAAAGGAAAGGAGGGCTAGGGATGTGGCTCAAGCGGTAACGCGCATGCAAGCGCGGGGCGCTGGGTTCGATCCTCAGCACCACATGAAAATAAAATAAAGATGTTGTATCCACTGAAAACTAAAAAATAAATATTAAAAATTCTCTCCTCTCTTAAAAAAAAGGGGGGGAGGGGCAAGGGATGTGACCCAGTAGTTAAGCATCCCTAGGCTCAATCTCCAGAACAAATTTAAAAAAAAAGCCAAGTAGCCAGGCATAGTGACAGTGACACATGCCTCTAATCCCAGTTAGGAGGCTGAAACAGGAGGATCCCAAGTTCAAGGCCAGCCTGGGCCACTAAGCTAGATCTGCTCAAAATAAACAAAGAAGAACAGTGGATACAGCTCAGTGGTAGCTGAATTTATATATCCTATGTTTAGTGTTAACTTTAAAATACTATAAATATTAACCAACTTCTTTACATAAACACCTGAAAGCAATGGAATATTTAAAACAAATTGAAAAGCTAAATAATAGTAATTCTTACAGCATTAAAGTGGTTCAAAATCTATAACAGGTTTTACTCAACATCAAATATTGTTTATTCCCCCCTTTTATTTTTACCTCTTTTGTCATGACCTCTGAAATATTATATGATTCTTCTTCTCTTCCTCTTTTCTTTTTCATGGCTATAAAAAAATCATTTTACTTTATTTTATAAGAATTAAAACAAATACAAACCCACATTCTTCCAAACTAGAATAAGAAAATTTACCTGCATTCTCTCCACTTCCACCAACTAATTTTTTTCCCTATAAAACAAGGATTTAGAATATTACTTTTACTTAAGGTCATTTATGGTATTACATATTAAATGGCAATAACTAACTTGAGAGAAATGGTTCTTGCAGTTGAAACTCATATAAGTAAATAAATAATAAAGGTATTGCATCCATCTCTAACTTAAAAAAAAATGAAGAACAGATTGACAATGTTTCTATACAACTTGTAACAAAGGTAGGTGGTTAACAAAGTTATAATTAAATAGATGTTCAAAGAAGTCAAGACAAAAGAATTTCTTCAATATTTAAGATAATATGTAAAAACTAGTTGGACACAGTGGCAGACGACTATAATCCCAGCAACTAAAGAGGCTAAGACAGGAGGAGCTCAAGTTTGAGGCCTCAGCAACTTGGCAAGACTATCAAAAAAAAAGCTAGGGATGTGGCTCAGCAGTAAAATGCCACTAGGTTTCATTCTCTAGTATGTATCTCTGTATGTATGAATGTATACTTTCTGAGGGCTAGAGGTATAATTCAATGGCAGTGTGTGCTTATTAGCATATGTAAAGCCCTAGGTTCAATCCTGAGCACTTAAAAAAAAAATCTGGCTTGCCTTATTACCTTTGTAACTTTTAAAGATTCCTTTTTTCTCTCCAATTTTTCTTTCTTCTTCTGTTCCTGTAATATAATTTCTTCTTAATATCACAGATGGGAAATGCAACATAGGAAACATTCATCTCCGACTTGTTTACAATTAAAAAAAACTATAATAATTTAAAAAAAACAGAAAATTTTGTGCTTTTAAGACTTCATGGAATAACAAGAAACAGATTTACCCTACTGCCATGAACAACTAAAATCCAGATAAAATTTATTATGCAACAGTTTTCAAAAGAACAGTGAATACTAAGAAAAGGAAAACAAATAAGGTGAACTTTCTGACTGCCTTATTTACTACCTGAAAGCAAGCAATTTCCAAAAGCAAAATAACAAAGGGAAAATACAAATAGAACCCAAGTCTGAGTTGAAACAATTCAAAACAGATACGCTAGCATTTCCAGAATCAAGTATCAGAGAGGGCAGAGCTGCACTAAGCTATGTCTCTCTTGAAGTCTTCACACTTACTACTGTTAAGTGCATGAATGTAAGGAAACCAAAGCCAGGGAAACAGCTACCAGAAAGAAGTAGGTAGAACAATCTTGCTCTCTGACATGGGGTCAAGAATAAGGAAGAGTTTGCTTTTGTTCAGGCAAAGTAGAAAGTCCTAAAATATAAGCATCAAATAGAGTATTCAGAAGGGAAATAAATCTATTTCTATACTAAAAGCTGTTCCAGATGTACCTTAAATTTAAAAGACCATCTCCAAGAGTTGGTTAAACTGTATTTGTCTTATAAATCATTAAGGTACTTGGTTTTGTGGGGTTTTTGTGTGTTGTGTTTTATCTTAACATATCAAGATTTTAAAAGGGTTTCAGACAAACAAAAAAGAATTTTACAAATAAAACAAAATCTCAACTAGTGTTAAATGTGGATAATGGGGACATGGGATTTACTGTATCCTCTAATGTGTTTTAAGTTCTGACATCCTACATTTTTGTGGGAAGACAAATACAATATACCTATCACATGATAAGTGCAATGCAAAGAACACAAGAAGGTAAAGGAAATCAAGAGTCAGTAACTAGATTGTCTCGCCTCACAGCAATAAGGCCCTGAGTTCGATCCCCAGCACCATTAAAAAAAAAAAAAGAAAGAAAGAAAGAAAAAGATTGGGAAGAGTCTCATTGAGAAAACATTAAAGACAAGTTGATGAAGATGAAGTAAGCCAAGCAATCTATGGGAAAAGGGTTTCATGCAGAAAATGCCAATGGAAAGACTCAAAGGCAAGAAGAAACATATTTGGAAGAAGGTCTAAAAGGTAATGGGGTTGAGGCAGAAGTCAAATTGCTTACAGTTTTATACTTTATATAAGAAACAAAAAGCTAGGGCTGGGGATGTGGCTCAGCGGTAGCGCGCTCGCCTGGCATGCGTGCGACCCCGGTTCGATCCTCAGCACCACATACCAACAAAAGATGTTGTGTCCACCGAGAACTAAAAAATAAATATTAAAAATTTCTCTCTCTCTC